GGGGGGGGGGGGGTGGGGGGGGGTGGGGGTACAGTTGGCAGCTGTCAGGCCTTTATTCATGACTCTGAGGAGACATCCAGAGATGGAACCCTTCTCTTCCAAAAATAAATAAATAGAAGGGGAAAACATCAACACAGACAACTGCAAAGTGGGAGGGAGAGAGGGAAAATTGTGCTTTTCTTTTTCTCTTCATCATCATAACTATTTTGAATATCGAATCAGTTTTTTGCTTTCTAGAATATTATATTTTTAACAATATTTTTGCTATCATGAGGTTAAGAGGTTTGTGTGTGTGAATTCTAACCTCGCAAAATCCCCGTCTGCAGCCCGCTGTGTATTTTAATGTGTGTGGGAATATTACGCTGGACTTTGATGGGGACTGACACAAGGGAATCATGTTTTCCACTTTTGGTCATCCATTGTGTTCATTTCCATTGTGTTTTATGCACATGTCCTTTTATGATGACCCCAAAAATACAAGAGAGCAAGGCTGGGCAGGAAAGCCACATTTAAATGCCAGTGAGAAAGTATGTTTTTTTTCCCCCCCTCAGAAATAATTCAATTCTTCTGTCATTTCTTTTTTATCCCAAAAAATAAATAAAAAAGACAAACAATTGAAGGTGATTAAACTTTACCAGCACTACACTTCTTTACAAAGCATGACTAGATTTTACAGTGACTTGGTGGTCTCCTCATGATATCATATCTCTTTTTTTTCTTATTAATCCACTGAATGGCCTGTAGTTCATTCTGAATGTGCGTGATATGACTGGACAAAAGGATCTTTGTTATGTGTTCTTTACAAATGGGTGAAAAGATTTTGATGGGTGAACACCTGTAATACTAAATGAGGGCAGCATACCATCAGTGTTTAACGGGGTAGTGAACACACTCAATCCAAGTGAGTCCACAAAACAAGCTCATATCGAGATGTTGTTAACTTTATTCATTTACTGTCGTTCATGGAAGGAGCCTAAAAAAATATCTGAGAAACCGCTCACTGACAGATGATGAAAATGAACTTCCAAATAGCCTAAAGGAAAAATCCAGCATGATAGACATCGAAGAAGCCCTCATCACTGTGGTAAAAGTGTTTGGACGTTTTCAGGGAAAAGCTCTGAGCTGATGTGGACGTCTCTTTTCGGGGAGAGGTGGGCGGACAGGGCCTCGGACCGGAGCGGTGAATGAAGGCATTCATGAATCGAGCCAACCGAGCAGAGGAGACAGAGCTGGAGCTGAGAGGCACCTGCTCCCGCCCGGCCCCAAACGCCGGACCCATGTGGGCTCACGCGCTACTCTCTATTCATTTCTAATCTCGAATCAACCGATGAAAAAAAAAAAACATACTAATTAGCTTAAATAAAATAAGTGATTTATGGCGGGGGAAAAAACTTATAGAGCAAGTCCACTCCTGGGAAGCTTAACAGTAATAGCTGAGCGATTTTAAATTATTTGTAAATTAATTATATTCCAAATTAATATCAAGGCTATATAAAAAAATAACATGATATTAATTTAAAAACGAATGAATGTCTAATTTGCATATATAACATGAACAATAACAAACTAAACATCAATAGCTGATAATACTCTTATTTAAAGCGTCTAATGATTTCCACGGGAGCTCCTATTTTTAACCTCGCGTCTTCCTGCTGATGGGGCACCGGTACTTATTAAAGTATAGGCAGCCATTATTTTACCTGTGTCTCTCTGCTCCACATCCAGGGCCCTCCGCCGCCTACGCTCACTTCCTGCCCTCCTCACCGGGCATTTACGCCTCTGTTCGGACAGGATCGACTTTTGTGACCAGCCACGCGCAGCTCTGTCGCGGAGCATGAATGTGAAATCACTATTTTTAAGAAGTTAACTATGGTCTTATTTACAATCAGTTTGATGACGTCATCACATAATTGATAAGTGATCGCAGTTTAATTCGATTGTAAAAAATAAAAAAATGAATAAAATGAAAAATATACACTAGCGTGACAGCATCAAATGAGTATATTTTAGGTTCGGGAAAAAGAGGAGAGAACACGCACCCATAAGTCCCTCCAGATAAATCCCATGTCTGTTTACTAATAACACAAAAATAGCAGCCCGAGAGCCTTGGCGTGAAATTTGTGCCATTTAATGAGGCATGGGCAGGAGTTTTTAGTTTGGTGATTTGTCATGTTACCACAACAGCACGCACAGGACCACACGGGACTCCTTCATGAGCAGAAAAAAGAGTCTAATATAAGAGGAAAACAACCCACGGCAGCGTGGAAACTCCGTGCTGTCAGACTCATTTAAACTCTAAACGTGGACGTGTGTGTTTCTAAAACACGGTCACAATAACGTTGTTGTATGATTGGAGAAGTCCTAAAGAAAAACAAGCATCCCGGCGCGTAAAAGCGCGTGCCAAATGACAGAACGGGTTTCCAGGTGCCCGCCGGTAAACTTAAGCTTCACGCCGTGATTTTAAAATGGAAACACTGACTCAAAGATGAAGAAACGATACGGAGACTATTCCGTATTAGAGTTTCGTTTTCATACGACTGCTTTTTCCTAAATAATTAAAAGAATATTATATTATATATATATGTATTTTTACATATGTTGGGATGAATTATTCCTATTCTGTCCATCTGTGTCCGTATTAACGGACTGAGTTGCTATCTCTTAAAGATAAGGCTCTGGACTTGAGAGATATCACTTAAAAAACACGTGGGTATCTCCCGCACACATCCCACATCCAAGGAGAGCGTTTCCAATAGAAATACACTGTTTAAATAATGCATAAAATCTCAAATGCGCAGCTTTAAATATCATTAACATCATTACCTCTCCTGTGAAAACGCACGCTTTCTTTTTTGAAAAAGACTAACGGAAAGTATATCATTGCCACTCTTGTTCTGCATCCATCAGTCAGTCAGCAGAGAAACGGTGTTTAGGCCTGTATCCTCTAATCAGCGAGCGGCTCTTTTCGTCTGCTTGTTGTCAGATTTGGGCCCGACGTGCTAAAAAAAAACCCTCAGAACAGGCTTCAGAGTGGAGATGGGTGCAATTAAAGCGCACAAGTGCGCGTAAAAGCATTACACTCAGATTAGTACATTAAACATGTTCTCCTGCTAAAGAACACTGAACAAATATGTGCTTATTTCAGAACAGCTTCTATTCTGATTTCTTTTTTAACAGAGACGTCTCAGTAAGAAAACGAGCTCATTTATTAGAACTAGATGCCTTTCACTTAATTAAGAGAAAAAAAACTATTTTTGATCTGCTGTAAACTCTGCTTCTATAAAATTGAGGGGTAAAGATTGTGATTTGCTGTGTTTTCATGTATTTTCACCGATGCTCAGTTTGATCTGAAACTTGTCTTTCGGGAGGGCAGAGCTGAATGCCTGCGCTGCAGGGGCCTGCGAGCGAATTCCAACACGGCCTCTTCCCATTTCGCTCTGCTCCTGTACTTTGTCTGTTAGCACCTGACTATTTACAAAGTGGGCTTCCGACTTGGCAATGACGAAGTGAGGTGGTATCAATGGCATCATATCTGATTCAAATCGGCTGTCATAAACTGGGAGGGACGCACCGTGAGGGAGATGGTTCGCATTCTATCGATCTATCCATCTACATCTATAAACAACGTGCTGCTGTCTCTTATTTATTTACGCTCACTGCTTCCCGGGGAGGAACATCCAAAACAAATAGGGTTAATCCGCTAACTGCGTTATCCCATTAGACCCCCCGCTGCCGCTCTCGCGCTTAATTCGGTGACTCTGGTGTAAATTAAACTCGATCCGCTCGCTGCCACAGCGGTTTCCACCAAACACACCTCCAGCTGCCAGCAGAAGTTGGAGCTCGATAAGCTGGGAGCCAGAAGCTGGATCTTTGAGGCAGGAGGCAGAGGGGTCAAGTCCAGCGGAGGCCCGAACAGGCCACGTGCGTCCAAGACTGCCACAATGGGCTTTTACGCATTAAAGAAGCGTGTGCGTGCGTACGTGTGTGTGCGTGTGTGTGTGTGCGTGTGTGTGTGAGGTAATAGATCCTCTTAAGAGATAAAAACTGAGTGTGAGTTTACACCACTTTTGTGGTGTAAAGTGGACTGATTCATTGGCACGTGGACCAAAGTAACGCAATGATTTAAAACATTAACGTTTCTGAAATTAGAAAAATACGACGGGGAAAAATTAATGAAGAAAGAATAAATAAGTGAATAATAAAAAGTCAATTTTCCTTGACTTCTTTGCCATGTGTTTTTTTTTTGTATAAAGTAAAAAAAAATGTAATCAGTCCTTTTGAAACAGACGTTATGATGCATCTTATTAAGTTGTTTGTTTTTTCAACTTAATTCAATGTAAATTTGGGAAATTCAGCCAGAGCAGTGGCACGTGACTGATGCATTTTCGAAGACATTTCGAAATGATATATATTCTGATGTTCCAGGAAAATTCGGTGCTGGGGAAGCCTCTGTGGGCAGGAAGGGCCCCGCGCGCAGACGCATTCGCTTTCTCTCATTTACTGGAAAAGAGGCGCACTCTGGAGACGGACATTGGAGTGACGTTGGACTTCAATTCAAATGACTGACAAGGTCTTATTGAAATAAAACATTCGGCGCGGCGCGCGGACACATTTCGCTGCTGGTGCAGGGGAGGCGTGGATCTCGCTCACTCCTGACATTCCCGGGGCAGTAGTGGATTCTCCTCCAGACTCAGATAACAGCACCCCGCCAGCAGCAGAGCAGGAACAGGGGAAGCTCTCTCTCTCTCTCCTCTCTTCCATGTGGATGCGCTGTGTTTTGACGCCGGGACGCGTTTGAGGGGGTTCATTCAATTACTGCGCGCGCTGGGGAGCTTTCTCGTGTCTCCCGTACAGGCGCAGGAGAACTTAAGAGGGACGTTTGAGTCAGACTCTCGTTACCAGCGGAGCGCCGGTGGTGGAATGTGAGAAAGCCCGTGTTTTAGCGCATGTTCCTCTTCGCCGTTCGCAGCCTTCTCCCGCTTTCTGCGCAGTTGGAAAGCGGAGGAGGAGGAGGAGGCGGTGGAGGAGGAAGAGGAAGGAAGGCTTTTAACGACTCGACCCCCCGCTTATGGACGACGGCGGTCCCCTCTCTCCAAAGGCGAATGCGTTCAGTATTGCCTCTCTGATCTCGGCCGCAGAGCGAGCAGGAAGCGCCGGCTCTGCCAAACAGGGCACCGGCCCGAACAAGCCAGACCTGCACAACCACAGTTCCTTTAAAATGCACTACAGCACTGTCACCCGGGAAATGGAAGGTAACTCTGTTCACTGATGCCCATAGAGCCGTCGTAGTATGTGTACAACTCACCCCTGCGCTTTCTCCGTGCGGGGACACCTTTTGAAACTAGAAAAAAAAACTAGAAAAGGGACGAGAAACATCTGTTTGGGCGACTATTAAAATTGACACAAATTCACAATCAGGGTGGAGAAGTCTGCTGAGGAAGCGCGTGGAAAGTTTCCAATTCCATTGATTCCAAAGCCTCAAAGGGCAAGTCAACTTTAATTCGTGGATAGGATCACATAGATTGAAAATGAAGCCAAGAGGAGGAGGGTTTAGACGGGCACCCCGCATGGATTGGTAAAAACAGAGCATAATAATCACATCCAGCTCCGAGGGGGGTGTCCATCCATCCCCCACGCGTTTTTTGTCCATAACTAGAGAGAAGCGGTCACCTGCTGCCTGTTTATTTGTTTGTTCATGCAAATCCGTGCGCGTTTACCTCGTAAAGCGTCAAACACTCCTCTCTGCGGGGCAGATCCTCTATTGTTTGTAAGCGGGGGTAATGTGGGCGATACCCTTATCCAAAAAAAGTTAAATGGGTGCCGGAAAGCCCATTAAAAAGGGGCGCACTTCAGTGTCAACCAGTCTCGTCCCAGGGCGAGGAAAAGGCGCATTACCTGCAGTTCCTTATCTAAATAGAAATAAGAACCGGTTTTATCGCAAAGGGGAGGCCCTCCGCGTCAGATAAGAGACGACTCAGGGCTGTGTGGGACACACTGTGGAGTGGAACACACTGCAGCAGCGCACTACAGAGGCGACGCGGCGCGCAATCAGTCCAAAAGCAACACAAAAAAAGCAGTTCGCACCCACTCGAGGCTCGTTTTTTCTGCGAACGGTTTAGAGATTCGACGCCACTCCTGTTGGGTTCGGGGAGATATTTCGTCACTTTTCGGACGTCTACGGTTTCTAGAGCAGACAGCCTGCGGCGGGCTCCGCTCGCGGTGGATGCAGCCTCGCGGACTAATGAGCGGCCGAGGCAGAAACTTCTGAGCGGAAAGGGGTGCATTTGTGCCTGTCACCTTCACTTGGAGATCTCTTTTTTTTTTTCCTACTTCTGTTTTGACCATTTTTGCGTTTTTTGGTCGCCTTCTGCCGCGCGGGCTGTTGAGTCAAAAACCAGTTTTCTGGGATGATTTCAGCCATATCCAGCCCGTGGCTGACGCAGCTGTCCCATTTCTGCGATGTTGCAGCCTTCACCACGAGCAGCCTGAGCAGCCTCAACACGCCGGGGGGCTACCACCTCTCCCCGTCCCCCGGGGACCCCTACAGCCAGCATGAGTCCCACTTCGAGCCGTGCCCGGCCGCCCAGCACAGCTACAGCTACCCGGGAGCCAACCCGGGCCAGGCCCAGACCACCGACACCGGGACGCCCAACTGCTCCTCCTCGTCCTCCAACTCCACGCCGACCAGCAAAAGCATAGTGAAGAAGAACCCCAAAGTGGCCAATATTAACGTCCAGCTGGAGATGAAGGCGCTGTGGGACGAGTTTAATCAGCTAGGCACGGAGATGATCGTCACGAAGGCTGGCAGGTGAGCGCGCACAGCGGCAGGCCAGCGGCGGCGTCCCCCCCCTGAAGGACCGCCGTTCCTTTACTGTAACTCTCCTTACTGAATGACAGAGCTGCGTCAGGACACAGAAACAGTCCAGGTCCAGTTTGAATCATGATCGAAGATCAGAAAAAAATCTGTAACATTTGAAAAGCTTCTTGATCCGTTTAAACTCAACTTACAAGTCGTTTTTACAATAAATTATTATCGTAATAAGCAACAATTTAATAGGGTGTCCGTTCATATTTGAATTTTCTCCCGGTTTTCTTTTGTTTCCTCAACATGTCCTCCAGTCCGTGCAGAAAAAGTCAAACTTTTCAAATGACACAAAATGCCAAAACAGTTCATCCAAATATATATATAATTTTTTTATCGTTGTCTACTTTGAGCTTTGTTTCCGAGCAGCCTGATGAGCACTGACAACAGTTTATTGTTGCACCCTTTTATTTCAGGGCAGCCTTCAGCCTGATTTATCTAATGGTTTCCAACAAAAAATAAATACAGTTCTGGAGAACTGTAGATTCTTACGCGTGTGTGTGTGGAGCTGCTTTTGTGAGTCAGCCGTAAACGGCACGCTCATCTGATCCCGTTGCGTTTTACAGGCCGGGGATCTAACAGGGATCCCCCTCAGCTGCTTTTCCTCACCGTCTGGTTCAATTTTACGCATCGCTCTTACGCAAAAACATTGCAGCTTTTATTTCGGACATTTGGTAACCGATACAAGTCTAGGCCAGTGGTGGCTCTCTGTTTGTATGAGGGCCTTTTTTTTCTTATTTCCTCGTTATCTGAACGGCTGTCTGTTTCAATCGTTTTCCTCTGAAGTCTCACAGACGGCTGTGGTTTTGGTTAGATTTGCTGCGTTGATTAAATAGACAAAAAATAAGGTAACTCAATAAGAGCCGATCTGTTTTTCTCCAATTGTAGAAATAATTGTGCTTGTCGTCAGGGATATAAGAGAAATTCCTGTTTGACCTATGACCTCTGTTGAGATTATAAAAATATGATCCTGCATGCAGCCAAAAGGAGAGCGTTAAAAGGGCTGGAATAAAAGCCTCCAGCTTGAAAGTGAGGAGTGAGGATCCCCGCTTCGCGCTGTCTAACAGGAGAAAGGAGATCCAGAGCAGAGCACTTTAAAGGCTCCTTCAGCCTCATCTAGCCACAACACTGACGTTAATTGAGCGTTGATTCTGGGATCCCTTTCACTGACTCGGCGGTTTACTCCACTTTCAACGGAGATTCCTGGGGGATATGGACCTGTTAAATAACCTGCAGTTTAGGGGGGAAACGGTGACCAGAAAGTCTCCAACACGCTGTTTTTTCTTTGCAGCTTTGAAACACAGAAATATTTGTTATTTAACAGTGGCCACCGATGCCTCAGTGTGAGAGCAAAGCACCCAAACGCGTTCAGTTTTTAACTTATTTTTTAATCAATAAGTGCGACTTTCTCAGATAATCAAACGTTGAAATTCTGAGCTGAAATTATCAGTGAGTAGTTCCCAAATTTAGCCTAATAAATAAGTTATAAGTTAATCTAAATATGCACGTGTAAATGTATGTGCGTGTTGGTCCTGATGCATCTGGAGTTAATCATATATCATATGATTAATTCCAGATATTATAAGTAAGTCATGTTCAAGAAGTCCTAGAAGTTTTTATTGTTTATTTTGTTTAGTTTTTTTAGCATAAGGCATAAGACTAAAGGAAGCAAAGCTAAATTTAGATGGGGGTAAACTTTTAGAGGGTCTTTCACAAAGTTAAAGACGACGTTTGAAACCTCTCAACTTGGAAAATGTCCTCTTCTAGGTTTGGGGCCACTGTACAAAGCACTGCTTAAAACACTGGGCCTGTCCCGTGACTCATTTTCAATGAACACACTCACACACACACTCTGATTGCACAGTATTAGAAAGGACAGCGGAAAATAAGCCCCAAGAAATGCATTTAGCATTTGAGAAAACGTAAAGCTCTCACTAGAAACTCACCCTGTGGTTTTCTTTTCTTTATAGGAGAATGTTTCCAACTTTCCAAGTGAAAATCTTTGGAATGGATCCCATGGCCGACTACATGCTCCTGATGGACTTCCTGCCTGTAGATGACAAACGTTACAGGTAGACTAACTTTTTGTGATTTGAAAATAGTTTCCTCCACATTTAAAAAAAATCTTTAAAACGACTTTTACCAATAAAGAAAAAAGAATGCGCACAAAATTTGCAGCGTCCAAATTAAGAACTTGACTAAGAATAGCAAAATAAACCAGTGTGAGTAATGTACGGGAAAAATGCTTTTGTGTTTGATTTTATCAGGATGGAACTTTAAAAAAAAAAATCCATTGATTTGTACTTGTCCTATTATATATTTTAGCCACGGTGTGTTCTCTCATGCGCAACACGCATTTTTCACGCTGATTCTTTATCGCACGCGTAACATGTTGGCCCATTTGCTTTTATGTCCCCTCCAGGTATGCTTTCCACAGCTCGTCGTGGCTGGTGGCGGGCAAAGCGGATCCTGCCACGCCGGGCAGGGTGCATTACCACCCGGACTCTCCGGCCAAAGGCGCGCAGTGGATGAAACAGATCGTCTCCTTCGATAAACTCAAATTAACCAACAACCTGCTGGACGATAACGGACACGTGAGTACCCCGCTGAGAGTGGATTGCGCGCGGGCCAGACCCGCCTCTGACCCCAGAAACTACAGGACCGTTTGTCCTGCCGCATTTCAGTCAGAATCAGTAATCACAAAAGGAATTACGCAGCCACATGTAAATACTTCGGCCAAAACTTAACGCAAATCAAATCATTTAAATGATATTCAAATAATGGGGAGAACAGTTTGGCACCACTGAGTCATATTTGGCCCTCTGCGCTGTAAAAACTGGTAACTGTCCCCACAGAAATAATATGCGTTGTTGGGCAGATTTTACCCACGAAATGGATTTATTGAAATGATTTTGAACAGCAATGGGGTTTTTATATTTTAACTCGTGGTGATAAATTGCTAAAAGCAATTCTCTTTCGACAACAACGGCACCACGCACGCGGCTGCTCTCCAAAGATGACGGCAGGGAAGTGGAATACTTCACCACTGGAAATGATTCCAGCCCCTCCCGCCCGATCTTCCACACCAGCACGCTTGCTTTTAGAAAATGGGGGATTCTTTTTTGTAGAATGCTTTTGTGCGTTTTAAAAACATTAAATTAAATGGAAATCAGTTCAGAGCTTGCACTATATGCTGGTTAATCTATTGGTTCTCTTGCAAATGTACAAACATAAGATGGTTTTGGGAATTATATGCAGAAAAATATCATAATGTTGCCAGTGTCTGTAGGTTATACAAGAAGTTTATGGAATACCTTCAATCTGAAAATGCGCAAAAGCCTAGAGTTGTTTGATGCAATTAAAATATTGCTAACCAAATTTTATTGCATGTATTTACCTAATGCATTTTAATTTTATCCGGGGATAAAGAGCCCATCATGGAGCCGACGAGTAATGGATTATTCCTTTTGGATATTTTACAGATCATTCTGAACTCCATGCATCGCTACCAGCCCCGGTTTCATGTGGTGTATGTGGACCCCCGAAAGGACAGCGAGAAGTACGCGGAGGAGAACTATAAAACCTTCGTTTTCGAGGAGACCCGTTTCACCGCGGTCACGGCCTACCAGAACCACCGGGTAAGCAGCCTCCAGCCCGGGTGCACTCTGTAGGGCTGTCTGCTGTCAAATCTGCAGCTGAAAAGTCGCATTTAACTCTACCAATAAAGGCAGTTTTTTTTTTTCCATAATAAATTAATCCGGCTCATTTACCAAGTGTAACGTTACTTTTGCGCGTAAATGTTTCCTCTGGTGCGTAAGGACGTTCTTTCTTTTTCTGCGTCGTGTTCTGTTTTCCAAAGATCTCTGTGTGTTTTTAGATTATCATATTACGTGCGTTCTCTTGTTATTTGGGGCGATCTTCAAAGGAAGAAATGTTTATAGAAGTATTTTTTCCCCCAAAGGGGACTGCTGTATGATGTTATTAACGTGACCTCATGATTACCAGGCCAGAAAGGCGAATAACGGTTTACTCTGATGTTAAACGGCTTGTAAAATACTTACTGTCCCAATGTGGGTATGATTTTTTTTCTGGAGGAAAATATAATTGATTTAATGTGTAATTGATTAAATTAAGTAGTAGAGTAAATGCACATGTTTATTTGATATAATTATTTTATTAGAAGATAATTTATCATATTAATATATATCTTATGATATAAGATGTTTATTATATTAATTCAAATTCAGTGAATTGGACCATTTGGGGTGTTCTTTTCTATAATCAAAGTAGGGTAAAATTATAAAGAAACGTTCGGCTCTGAGGTTTATTAGATGTTCTGCTTTGCTTTTCAGATCACGCAGCTGAAGATTGCCAGTAATCCGTTTGCAAAGGGCTTCAGGGACTGTGACCCAGAGGACTGGTGAGCGTGTACACTCACATATCACAGCCTTATTGGCAAGTTTTCACATGCCGTAAAAAATGGAAAGACAGGGGCCAACCAGGTCAGAAAGTTTCTGCAAAATAGATTTGTTGTTTGCTTTATGTCACGCAGGTGCCAGATGGGTGGAGTTTTGCTACATAACATAACACAGAGGGCTGGGAATGTTAAAAATCATTTTGTATTGTTTGAGAGCCGTTCAGCTGTGTTTGTCTGTCACTGACAAATGACTGAACTCATAACAGTGGAAAGGAAGAAACTCTGTCCTTGTAGCGCGCCCAGACAGATGAAATAAATGCTCACATTTCCTCCAAATATTGTTGATCAAACTCTGAAACTCATTTTTTGCATCCAAAGTGTGGATGAAGCACATTGAGATAAATGGAAAATGATTATTACTTCAGAGAGCACCCGCTCCATCATTAAGCTGCCATGGATGTACGAGTAGCATCTCTCAGTGTTTAAAGGCTCATTACACACAGACCACTGTAAAATCTCTAAAAGCACAGTCATCATTCTAATATAAAGAATCATCATATGAAGAAATTGTGCCCTTGATGTTCATTGAGAATGTAACCCAATCTGTTTTCCCCATTCCAGGCCCAGGAATCACAGGCCAGGCTCTCTGCCAATAATGAGTGCCTTTGCCAGAACAAGAAACCCAATGTCATCTCCCCCTCAGCAGAACGGCACAGAGAAAGGTCTGCAGCCCGCTCTGCCCCTCGTTTCATGCCTCATACCCAACACTGAACAAAAATTCTTATATGTTTGTCATTTCATCAGGATTTTTATTTCTATTTGTTTCATATGCAGGGACAGTTCACTATGTTTACTTTCTAGTGGCTTGTTATCCTTACCTGAAGCTCAGTGGAGCATTCTCAGTATCAGGATGACACTAGCTTTTAATTAAACATCTGATATCAGCCGGTCAGTGTCATTCTCTCCATGATGGGGGTTTTTTATGCGGTTATATAACTGACCAAAGCGCCAGCACACCAAAAGTTGGGATGAGATCAGTTTTTTTTCATGTGATGATGAGTGATGTGTTTATTAGTTCAAATAGAACAAATAGAGCCGTTTCTGAATTCAGGCAGTAGTTTTTTTTTCTTCAAATCAAAAAAAGTTTGTATTATGAATGCAGTTTTGAAAGTTTGGAATTAAATTTAGTGTGTATTTAATTTGTTTTCATTTTTTAATGACACCTACATTTTTAATATATTTCTAAGCAGAAATCATTTTAATTTTAACTTATTTTAAATTTAAATTAATTTAAATTTAAATAATACGCATTTTATGGATAACAAATATTATCAAGCAATAATGTCTTAAACTCTTTATAGGAGTAAGCAACTAGAAACCTGTATTTGCTATAACCTCTATTAGTATGGAATGCAGACATTATAATCAGAACACAGACTGAGGGCATCATTCCTTCCCTAAACTTTGCTCTCCTACACATCTCCACAGAAGACAGCAGAAGGGAATACGAGCGAGACCCCAACAGCACACCCATACACGCAGATCCAGCTCACCAGCTAATGTCCCGCGTCCTCAGCCCCGCCCTGCCCGTCCCCGGTGGCCTCCACGCTGTTCCGCTCACGAGTGGCCGGCCCAGCCCTCCGCACGACCTCCGGCCAGACCCTCACACTCTACCCCCGGACACCCTCCATCACCACCCCTACAAGTACCCAAACACCTATGAACACTACTTAGGAGCCAAGACCAGGCCGTCGCCCTACCCTATACCCGGTATCAGAGGACACACATATCATCACCACATGAATCCCGCCACAACTAACATGTACTCGGCCAGTAGTGGCCCTTCTAACTACGACTACGGGCCCAGATAATGGCTGCTGTCTCCGGAAGGCGAATGGCGCACAGCACTGAGGGAATTGTTACGTTTTTACAAATGATGGCTTATGCAACCCATAGGTTGCAAACACAGATCGTGACTCCACTCAGCCGGACAGACTCTGCCGTATTTATTTAAAGGAAATGTGTCTTTGGGCACAGCATCGGCACCACGTTCCGAGCCCTCAAAGAGGTCTGCTTTGACCTCTGAACTCAAATGGCAGTAGCCCTCCATGAGACCCCCCCCCTCTACCTGAGCAGTGTGGACATTTTGCCAGCAGGCAGGAGGAACCTCTCCTTAACACGGACTTTCAATCACAGACTGGAATTGAATTCTTCTTTTTCTCCTTGTTTTTGGATGCACTTTTTGACTTGCTTTGTTTTTATTGCTTTCAAAAAAGCCATACATTATATAGTCCCATCAACCTTCTAGGTAGACGAGATGTTTGCATGTTGAGCTCATCAGAGAGGATGTCAAAATACGCTGAATTATTTTTGCTTACAAAAAGAAAAGAAAAGAAAAGAAGGTTTTTGAAAGATTCAGAACATCTTGAGCCGCTCTGAGAAGCTTGTACCATGGCACTGACTTGCAGCAATTCTAAGTAAATAAATGAAGCAGAATGACTTTTCTGTATCTGTAAAATAAACATTAAATTCTTGTAATTCATTTAAAAAAAAGCTCTCTGTGCAAATGTTCCATTCAAAATCTGGACTGCATTGTTAAAGTCTGACTGACCGGATTTGCTGCTGAAATAGGCTGAGTTGTTCGCTTGTCCTACGCTCACTGGCTGGCAGGCCTGGAATGTTAGCACATTAGAAAATTAAATTAATCAAATATTGAAATATTTGCCTGGTTTTGAGAGGGAAAAAAGCACAAAGGTACACAACTTCTGCATATTTATCTCTTATTTTCAATAAAACATTAGGAAAAATGAACAAATGAAAGGGACTAGGGTAATTTCTAGTAAAAAGAAAATTATTCCCAGATGGGATATTGTTTCATCTTTAATAAAACATTTGGGGGATATTTTGAGAATTTCAGCCCCCAAACTAACCTGGCTGTGCAGCCATTTTCAGACATCCATTTGAAGTCCTATGATGAATGCTTTGTTGTCAAAGTTAATCTCGACAGGAGAAAAATTCTGCTTTGGAATTAGCAGTGGTCACATTACAAAAGAAAAGTAAACTAATGATTAATCTATATTATGCATTTCTTTTTTTCCTTCCCTTAAAAAGGCTCCTTTTGAGCAGAGAGCAGAAAGGATGCCTGGGGGCGCCTGACCTTTGACTGGTAAATGGCTTGTAAAGGTGTCAGGGGTTAAATAATGTTTCCACTCATTCAAACGCAGGCTAATTGATTATATCATTTTTGTTTGTTTGGGTAATAACTAAAACTGCATTACTTCTCTCAGAAAATAAATGTTTGTTTGAGGCCCTATGCTGCAATTCAAATATTAGCTAATTATGCACAAACTCCCTGCATTAAATTTAAAACAATTTAAACGAAAATACTATTTGAGCTACCAGAATAATTAATTAAAATACACATGTTCAGTTTTTTAAAATATTACTTATTCTTTTTATATAGACGCAACAACGTCGTGTAATTTAATAAACTATTGGCCGCAGCTGTTGGTGTCAAATTAATATTTCACCTCTTTAACTAAGTTTGCATAAACGTAAATATAATTATTGACAGGCTTTAAACACAAAGTACAACCTTAGAATAATTTTCGTAGCCCATAGCTGGCTCTTCAGTCGGGAAGCAGCTCGGTGAAGAACTCAACGCGACCGTTGAGAGAAGACGCCCGCCCACAGGTGACGAGCATCGGCCATCTTGGAAGCCGCGAGACCCCACGAGACGGTGACGGTTTGTGTCTTCGCCGCTGGGGCCCGCGAGAAGGTTAGGCGAGGGTAACGAGGGAGGGGTGAAGGGAGAAGGGTCAAGAAGCTCCTTTTCGGACTAATGAGAGGTTTCACATCAATGAGACCAGGCTGACACATGCTGCAGAAATGGAAACCACTTTAAATAAGGACAGCTTTGACCTCATGTTGAGGAACACCTGGAAACCTCCCGCCCAGGTTTTACATCAGCAATAATACAGGTCATTGTAGGGCCTACACAGGTTTTACAGAGAGGTCTGTTCATTTGAGCAAAATACAAAGTGAATTAAGCTCCAGCTGCTGAAACGCTGTTCAGAGCTCCACTTTCGAAGGTATTTGCAGTTTATAAAGACAGTTGTAGATCCGCTGTGAGATATCTGTAGTTAGTTTAGAAAAGACAGTGAGGGAAAATGTTAAACAAACTTCCTTATATGTAAAATCGGGCATGCTGAAATATTAGGCCACACATTTTAAGATCACTATATTATTGGTCATGAAAGTGGACTAAAATTAGCCCGTGTTTGGTGTACTGGATGGTAACTTACATAAGCAGCATTATATTCTTTATTCATCATAATTAACTGCCAGGAAATGCATTTTGTGGGTTGGTTAAATGATCAACTATGGAACATTTTATCATACACTATCTTAAATCTACAAAATGCAAATTAAAAGATTCACAACAAAACCATTGAAAAAAGCAAACTATTAAACAATATATCACAAATATAAAATAATATTAACAGCATAATTTGCTTAAATGTAGCACTTGTGGTAAATGTGTTCCAACCCGCAGTTTTCTAAGAGTAATGAAAATGTCCCCCGTGTAGTGCATTCTCAGACATACTCTAAATAACTGTGAGGGGTTTAATATGAATCAGTCAAAGCAGCGCCAACACTCAAACCCTCATTTCCAGAACACCAGCACTGAGAAATAAGAGGAAATTGCGCCTACTGGAGAAATTATACTGAACTGCACATTTTTGTCAGTAAATATAATCAGTGTAGCCCCTTATTTTGAAAATGAACCAAATATTTAATACAAGTACTTTTGAAAACATCGTAATAGGAGCCGTCAGGTTTTATTCATTTCACTCATGATGTCAACCTGCAAGAGTCCAGTGATACTGTGACCAGTTGATGTTGCCTGTTGGCTTTGTCACTGAGGCATGAGGAGGTGGAGAATGGATTATAACGTGACCTGTAAGGTCGCCTGACGCTCAGCGGGATCATGTGTTGTGACAGGCCTATCAGGGCATTGATGCATTCGCTTCAGCTCGGTGTTTGTCTCTGTTCCCGAGCCTCCCGTGGCATCTGTGCACGGTTACTAAAAGCCAACCAGGTACACCAACATGAGTTCTGCACCTAAACAGAAAAAAAACTGCTGAGGCTTGAATCATGAACACATGTTTTGTATATTTCCTCCTTTTTGGCTTCTAATCTGCACAAAATGTGCTTCAGCCTTTGGTGTGCACAAGCTTGCTGATGGATATTTTACATGGACCATTTTAAAGGCATCACTGACACAAGACAAGGGTCGTAAAATGTTTCTATTAATAAACGAATGACACAAATGAAGCTAACTTAATAATGGGGAGCTATTCTAGTTTTGGTTTACACAAATAGGGGTTTTAGTTCTTTAAAAAAGATATGTTTTAAAAGCTCTCAGCTGTTATTTCTCCCTTAATTGTTTTTTTTTTTAATTAATCAAATCCAAAGTGACATCTGAGCTGGTAATATAACCCACAGAAATTAGTGATGGCTTAAGGAGAGACAGCACCAGCGATACACACCCGCAGACCCGTGCAACCTACCGGATTATGCTCCATCCTAAAGCCGAGTTGACCTCTGACCTGAAAGGCCAAGGAAGACACACGCTGGGTGATAGGTGAAGCACAAGGCCTATTGTGCAGACGGCCCTCCTGCCCATTTATTGACTTCCTAAAGGGTCCATTATGAGGTGATTTAGTGAGGGTTTTGCCCCATTCAGTGGACATCTGCAGCAATGGGCCCAGTATTTGATTTATCAGAGAACGGACGGAAGCTGGCCCACACCGTCTCGAGTGTTTGTTCAAAGCCAACAGGAGTAAGGAAGCTATTATGAATCTAAGAAGTCAACAAAGGGGTCAGGGACAAAAGGTATGAACAGACCTCTATAGAAAACATGGTAAACACATGACTAAAAGCATGTTAAAGGATGTCGTGGAGTTTTCCAGCACGTTCTTCAGACGAACAGAAATGAAGGAAAATTTCAATTTTCTAACAAGAAAAAAGAATCCAGTGAAGCAGCAGCAGCAGCACGCTTTGCTGCCGTGACAGTAGCACAGCTAGGCAGCTTGTCTGGTAAATGACCTCGTCTTTCCTCTGCTCCCCGATTAGCCCTGGCCATTATTCTCATCTGGCTCTTTGATTTTTCAGGCCTTTCCTGTACAGCATGATGAGCTTCAATAGCTGGGAGCATCCCAGGAGACACAGTCTTTATGTAGTGGAGCCTGGTGTGCCTGAAGCCCTGGCCCCTGCCCTCTCAGCACGCTGTGGTTACACACGAGCTCCCATGCTACGCCCCGGCTGATACTATTAGGGTCAGCGAACGGGGGGAAAAAAACACCAAGTCGTTATCTATGGGCTTTTTTGACAAATATTTCCCAGAATACCATCAGTATTTGACATCATAAACCACATCTTATTTTATTCAAACATTCCTCAGCATGACAGATCAGTGTCTAACTGCAGTTTTTCTCTTCTCTCTGCCTTGCAAAGAAAGCATATTCATCACAAAAAGAAAATGAGCTCATATGAGATCGTGCTAAGCGGGAAGAGTGACTCCTGATCGGCGCATCCAGTAAATCAACACCTCTCTGTTCTCCATGTCCCTTTTGTGATTAACCCTGTTTGACAAATACAGCCCGGGTCAGGCTAGAGGGCCTGCGTGTTAAGCTAAAAGCTGCTAGAATAACAACACAGGATTACAGAGCTGCTCAGGTGTGTCGTATACCTCAAATTCAAGTCCAGTGAAGCAAATCACCCATCAGAAAGTCAATATGATGGCAGGGCCACAGAGCATGGTGGCAGGCCTTAGCAAACAGCAGGCTGAGGAGGTAAACTCTGGATTATTTAACTACCTGAAGTTGTTTCAGCAGGATCAGTAGAAACGGACAAGTTCCACTGATGGCACGACGGTAACTCAGCTCAATGTTTGGTCATCAACAGTTTTCCTACATGTACACATTCACTTTGCACACATTTGTCACTTCAAATGTTAAAGACATTGTTACAGTTTGTGAAAAGATATAAAAAATGAAATAATTGAATGTTCGATAGTAGAAGAACCAAAAGCTATAAGCATTAATATAAGCCAATATGACTTGTTTTTTTTTCAATGCAGCTCCCTTCAACTTTTGTGCTCTGTACCCCAATGAGCAAACTGGGGCTATAGGTCACATTACAGGCAGGTGGCAGTTAATGTCTTGCATAATAATCTGTATAACCCCCCCCCCCCCCAGAGTTCAGACACTCAGCCTGTGTCAGCTCCTTCGCTGTATATGGACCACAGGCTGATCCGCTGGTCCTTTGATCCAGCGGCCAGCAGCCTTTGTCTGGCGTCCTGATGGTCAGAGAAGGCCACGCTCTGTACCATGTCGGTGTGGTACTGCAGCACTGCCAGCGGCCGCAGCTTTTTCCAGCCGAAGATCCGCACTCTGTGGTCCCAGCCGGCCGATGCCAGAAGTTTACCATCCTCCCTGATGCACAGCTGAGAAACCCCGGGGTTGGTGAGCATCACACACTCCTGGAGCTGTTAAAAAAAAAAACACAGACAAAGACCTCAGTAACTGTTTAATTGTATAAGTAAAGCAAGCATGCAGAATCACACATTAAAGACAGATCCACACAGTGTATCTGCCAAGAATACTTGGTATGAATTTCTTTATGGTAATTTTCTGGGAAATCCTTTTTTTTTTTTTTAAATGATACAACTGTTAATGCAAATCGAGGAGAGAAAAAAAGGTTAGGAAGTCACATAGTCACTGCTATGTAGGAAAGTTGCCAACAAAAACATGCAAAAAGATCCTATCAGCTGATCTGATGACGGAGGTCCAAGTGTGAGGCTGGAGGCCTGTTGAACCTGGCCTTAAGGCTCCTGGGACTCAATCATCGGCCATAAAACATTACGGCACGAGAGTCGCCAGTAAATCTCTCCGAGTTCCATTATTTGGTTTGGAGTTAGTACGACAGGGCACTGAGTTACCTGTGTGACAGTTAGCTGGGGAAAAGAGAGAACATCTTGCTGAAATGCTTGTTTGCCGAGGCCGTGTTGCTTTAGTCATCTCTGATGAATTACATTCACACTGAAAGGTCTGGTCAGCGGGCGAAGCACTTCGATAAATACACCGTTGTAATGTCTGCCTGCTAAAGATTAGCCACAGCCCCCCTCTCCCTGTGATCTACGGTGTCCCAAGGACTGCATAAATCTCTCTAAAGGGGCAACATTCTGACATATTATAACGAATGGCGGCTAAGATCACTATCTAAAGAGCCTGCTGCGCTGGGCATTCCAGGGGAGCAAACGTGCTTTTTCTTGCAGGATGGGAATCGCGGCTGGATCGCTAGCTGGGCCGCAAACATCTGGATATGGGAGCCGAAATCAAACTGGACAGCGTAAAATTGACTTCATAAGTTGTGTCTAGGGAGACTAATGGCTTTGGATGGGACGAGATGTTGGGAGAAGCTATGTGCATGGCCTCCTGTTTTGGGAGACCAAAACCATCCCGTTTCAGGCTGCATGTGGAAGATATAAGCCAGGTACTCATAGCCCAAGTGGATAAAGTGGAATGCAAGGGAGAGGGAGAGCAGGGTGGAATGTCATTGATCATAAAACACACACACTGACAAAAAGCTAAGCTCTGAACAGTCAGTGATGTGTTTCACCATTTTTTTGTTATTGTTAATCAAACCATCATCACTGGCATCCCAGTGTAACAGCATGTGCCTGCTTAGACCAAACAGGCCTGATAAACACATCCAAAGAAAACTACGGGGTGAAAGATTATTTGGAGCGTTGTTATTACCTCAAGTATTTGGTATGCCCCTTCCGCTCTCCATCTGGTTTGCATTAGAAGTCTGATAATGATGGGTTTAAGTGTCTGTTTGTGTTTGTTTTGCTTCCCATAGTTTGTGTCAGGAAAAGGCATTTGTTTCATTTAAGGGTCAATTGCGAGCAGTAAATGGCTAATGATGCAGATAGGTCATTCAGCAATGCCGCCTGGTTAATAGTTTTACTTTCTTTGTGAGAAAGTGGAGTGGTTGTTCTGTGCCATCATTTAAAATGAAAGATGCAGCTTCGCTGTTTCCTATGCTCCCAGAGATCAGTGTTTATTTTGGGGTTTCTTGTGTGTTTAATGAGGGCAACCTCACAAAAATGCTCACTAAATTAAGTGATTGGTTAATAAATGACTATTGTGATTAGTAACTGAAATGTTGTGCCAGCAAAATGTTGGAATATTGAAGAAAAATGAACCAAACACTCAAGTATAGTTTTGATAAAATTCTATTGAAATGATTTTTTTCACTTAAAAAAAAAAAGGAAATGTGATATTTTGAACCTTAAAAAAGTCAAACTATTTGCTTTAATAAGTGAGAGGGGAGTAAGGGCGAGTGCAGCTGCTCTCCATCTGTGTCCCATGTAAATCCAGCTGCTGTGCTCTCTGTCCCAGTTGCTGCTCTCTTCCACATTTCCCTCCATTAAACTACACCCTAAATTTGGATAAATAAACCTGAATTATCTGCCCTTGCTTCTCTGAGATGGCAAAATCAACGAGCCAATCAAATGCTCAAAATTACCTTACATTTTTGGTTTAATTCCACGTGTGTGCTCTACTCTAACGCATACTGTAACAGTGCTGTCTCTCATTTTTGGACACAGATGGACAAGTTTGTCAAAAACAAACAATTAGCTGCATCAAAAGAGAAACACAAACTGTTTTTTTTGTCCAGATATTATAAATCCTGTAAATCTCACCCAGGTTCCACAATATTGTACAAGTTTATCTAAAAAATATAGAGACATTTTAATGTATTAACCAATCAGAATCAATATAATGGGATAATTTGGACATGTTTGAACCAGAGAGAAATCTCCAAGAAGAGAACAAAACATCATTATGTATGAGCTATGCTCGATAAAAGTCTGATGCCTTTAAGTGTGAATCCATTCTCTGTGCATCTATTGCGTTCATGGTTACTTGGGAACTGGAGGCTCTTAAAATTATATAGTTTCCGACATCAAGAAGATTATTTTTAATGTTACAAAAACTATTTTTCCTTTTAAAAAGAGGCATGTTCTATCATTAATCTGTATTCTCCAGCAGAAACACTGGTTCTCTTGCTGAAGGAATATTGTTGCCATTAACCAGCTCTCAGTCTGCAAAGAAATCCATATGCAGGATTTAGGGAGTTAAGGCTGATTTTATTTTACACCTCATTTTTCCTCCAGTTGCTTCCTTAATGTCTCATAAAAGGTAACATCCATCTTTGGGCTCCATCCTTCTTTTTATGAGTACTCCTTCACTGTCTGTCTTACAGCATGCAGACACACACACACACACACACACACACACGGTTATGGGAACATCGGCCTTCGCTGTGTGAATGTCTGCTTTCCCAGCTGTCAGGAGGCGAGCAGCTCTGCTCAGCAGCTGGACCGAGAACCCTCCCTGTGGTTCTACAACAGATCTGACACCAACTCACATTTGGCAGGTTTCAATCAAGCTTTCCTCCACTTCCCTCCCTGTCTTCCCTCTCCGCCTCGGCAGCGAGCGTTGCTGCTCACGCTGATGTACTGAAACATCCCGTCATCACTCTCTCACTGGAGCCTAGCAGCGGGAAGGCTTTTCACAGGTATTTCTGACACGCCCTGTCCCTGAATCACACACAGCAGCAGGGAGATTAGAGCCTTTTGTCACCTTGCCTGTTAGAGCCGGGCTTCGGCTGACAGGATATGGATGCGTCAAACAGTTGAGCTGTTCAATAAATAAATAAGGCAGAATGGCTGGTGGGGATCAATACAAAAAAACCAAAAGAAAACAATCTTTTTTTTTTAAACGAGAAATTGGCTCTGATCTGACCCCAATATCAGGCCAGATCACAGATAGTTTTGCAAAAACTATTTTTCTTAGAAAATCATACATATGACTACCGCGTGCGGTGAGGGGGGGCAGTGGGAATATTTTTACATCACAGGGAATCTGATGAGTGGAGCTTCCACCTGTAAAGAGTTGTCATCAGTCATTGGAATAGCTTCCTGTCAGTCATGCTTGATTTACACTGCTAATCTTCCTCTGTCTATGCCTGCTCTCTCTTTCTGCAGGACACAACCTCTGACTTTTTCTCCCTCTCGGAGACACCCGTCACTACACTTGTCAATGCATTTGAGCTGCTCCCTGAATGTGTGTCCATCTGGCTTAACAGCTTGTAAACCCCGACGCCCACGCCCACATGCTCTCGCCCAGGCGCATTCCCCGAAACGCATGCTGGAGGGAGAGCAGAAATAATGCCCGGGATGATGCCTCCTGACTGTGAAACAATCTCAGGCCAGCGGGGTCATGCGGCAGATAAGGGCCTCCAGGAGCCATGTGCAATACATTAACCCCCATTCCTGTGGCGGTGTGTCTTTATCTGGCCTTGATAAGCTCACTTCACAGCCCTTCGGCTTCACTGAATCATAACTGCGCTGTGCTGTGTCACGTTCAGTTTCCCCTCAGTTTCACAAAAAGTATCTATCTGGCTGCCAGCGGCTTCAGCTGCGCTGAGCTGCATCGGTGGGGTAATTTGTGGGAAGCGAGATGCTGTGGCACTTACAGCCTCCTCAGCCTTTATTGCAGCCTCCCACTGTGAACTACTGTTCCCCTTACAGCAGATGTGTTTTTTGTTTGGCTAAGGGGCCTCCAAGGTTTTGATATTTTTATTACCTCTCACGGGTCGTCCGTCAGAACCTACTGCCCGGGTCCGCCACCCGGCATGTCTCCCCTCCGCCCCCTTACTCCGGCCACACAAAAATACTTTTGTGGGAAGAACTGAGGATAGCTGTCTGGACGTCACACTGAGCTGCACTTCAGCATAATTTAAAAGCCCCTGCTGGATCCTTTCCCTCTCCTTGTGCTTTTTACCTGTCATCCTCATCCTGGATTATACGCTGAATCAATATTTTGTTGCTTGAGAAAAAATAAACCAAATTACCACTCTCCTCCTGTTTATGGTATATTGAATAAAATCCTTTGTAGTGTTAGTCTAGACAAATATTCAGGGTGAGAAAATGGTGATTTACAAATAATTCTAATTCAAGCATTCATTTGTAAAAAGTCCAGGAAAGAATAATAGCCCTTCACTGTGCAGGAGTGTACTATATCAGCCGACGGTTCCCCCTGACTCTGATTCATGGGGGTTGACTGAAAAATGGGAGCATTCCCTTTTGCTCATGAAATCAAGAAAAAAATATAGGTTCAAATGAGGCGTTAAGTCTCTGAAGCATTGGCTGCTATGCAAAATGAATTATGGTAGAAAGCTGATGTGATCTCTTTAAGGGTGGCGGGGGCTATAGTTTGGATTGTTTACAAGGTTTATGTGCGTGAGAGAGAAGAGATGTAAACACGTACCTTAAGTTTACATCTTATCTGCATCAAGTAACAGGAGTAATGATGTATTCAATACTTAAAAAGAAAGTGGAAACAAGTTTTTAAGATATTTCATGAAAAAAACTAACAGTAAACTTGATTTTTCAAAACTTTAACCACTGGTATTCAGAACATAATAACAAGGTCTATTGTGTGACCGAGTGTGTGTGTGTGTGTGTGTGTGGGTGGTTCGACTCTGGAGTGACAACCCCAGCCCGGCCCTTGGCCCCTAGCCCTGCCAACACTGTGTAACCAGCAGCTGATTTATGGCCCCTGGAGCCCCGCTGAGCCTCTTCCTCTTTGGCCCCTAATGTTTTCCGAGCAAGTCTGGCGAAAGGCTACACTCCTCTCCTTCCATCACCATCATTAACTTTTATTCTATTTCACAGGATTTAGTTGACCATTGTGCAACAATCAGTTAGCAGGTAGGGGTGTAAAGGGCTGAAAATGTGAACATATGAGCAACCGGCACATCTGGTGCCACTACAGACACGTCGCTGCTTCAGAGAATACATCAAAGCTGCTACAACACAGCAGCTGATCTAGAAAAGATGGAAAAAATAATACTAAAGGGAAAAAAGGCAATTCAAAGGGGGGAAAAAAACGTGGAGTTTTAAAGCTGTCAGAGTACAGAAGAAGCCCACGAGTAACAGAAGAGCAATCGGTTAGTAATTGTATTAACTAAAACCCCAAAAGCTGCACTTTTAGATGTAATTACGAGTTTGAACCAGTCATTTTTGAGTCAGGTTTAGCTGACAAGAGGCGTCAAAAGATTTTTTTTAAATGGCTCTATGGAGCAGTTCATTATGGCTCGAATAAACAGAAGGATCACATTAACAGGATGTTTTCTTTCCATGTATATGACAACAACAAAACAGGACAGAATCATCTTCAACAGAAATGATTCCACTATGATCAATAATATTGGGTCTCTGTGCAAATGGTCATTAAGGGGGTTCATAAAGAGTGAATTTCAAATCTCTTCAGATAAAAACAAATCATTTGCAAAATGATGACAGGTGATGCTTTTATCTCACAAATTGACACACTGAGCTTTACTCAAGTTTTTATATCTGTGCCTAAGTCTGCTGACCTGCAAGTTGTTCTGGTCATCCAGCATCCAGGAGGAGAGTTTCTTCTCAGAGGAGCCTGATATTCCCCTCAGAAGCTTGGGATCAAAGGTCAGGCACATGACAGGCTCAGAGTGGGCTTTGACTTGGCTCACTTTGGTCCTCTGGGTTACGTCCCACAGCAACAGAGAACCATCCTCATATCCAGCCAACAGGAGAGGTCCAGGGCCCGAGCCAGGCTGGAAAAGAGGGGGGCATGATAAGAAAAGGGAGGGGGGAAAGGAAGATGAGAAGAGGCAAGACAAAGAGTAATGCGGGTTAGGATGTGAGACGAGGGCTGTGCGGTAAAAACCACAGAAACCGCCGCGTGGTGCTGGAAGCTGAGAGGGGGCAAAGGTTATCATCCTGAAGCTCCCGATGAAACTCTGTGGGCTCCATTCGTCAGCCTGCTGCTCTCCCTTTCCAGCACACCATTACAGCACTCCTCTCTTTTCTCCTCATCTGTATTTCCAACCTCAGCCAGCACAGATCGCTACATTTAAATAAATTGCACACCATTCTGATTCATTTAGTTTTTTGCATCAATACATCAATTTACTTATATTTTTCAGATCTAATTATTTCCCCTCCTTTTTTTGCTATATTTCTAATGATGCAGATTTTTAAAGTAGTTTATTCTTCTAATGATGGTGCAAAATGTTCAATAAAACAGTGAAAATAAGACATTCTATAATTATTGAGACAAACTTTTTTCTAATGGAAGATAACTGAAAAATGTATATACAATATTAATATCAAAACAAAAAAAAAGAAACGCAAACTGATTCTCTGAATCCACTGAGCAACTTCAAAGTATTTGTTTTTAACCAACTTAAAAAAAAAACATAAAAAGGTATGACGTGTGATATCAGGATTACTAACTAAAATTGATAACTTAATACACGCACATTTTCCATGATGAACTGATCCTATGGGCAGCTGGAACAACAAACTTCTGAAGTTCTGCATTGTGCAGGCTGTCGTCAACTGTGAGAACCCACTTCATGTGATCTGCTTCATCACTGAGAGTTTATCACTAATGAATCCACCAAATCGCAAATCCTTTAAATCCAATAAAAATATTATTAAATTAAGAGGATGTGCCAGTTCTGTGCACAAAACGCAGCTGGAAGAGCAACTCGTGCTGTATTTAAAAAGACTAGGACAATTGTGTTGTTTTACTCTAAGTAATTGTCGACTTTTCCATGCGCATTAAAAATTAAGACCAGAGCCTGTATAACGTGCCAGTGGGTGGGACAAAAAAATTAGTAAATTAAAGTGAGCTGATAAAAGGCTTTAAATATTTTTGTCCTGCAGCGGAACAGCCACTAAAAGAGACTAAACCGTCATCCCTGAAATCCCAACGTATACAGACGTACACGCAAAAACATACTAAACACAATGCCTAAACACATCCCTAAAAACACAAACAATTGGAGCATAATTCTGACAATAATTTGAATTTAAAAGAAATTACATTGCCCGGTGGAGGGCTTATTTCAGTATCTTGGAATATTTTTTAAAATGTCCGACTATGGCTTTTGTCTTAAACTAACATCAGGCCCCCAGAAAAAGCACAGTGCCATGCAGAAACAAGGAGGGAAAGAAATTTTTTCCATATGTGCACAGGGGCCATGTCTGCCATTTTTCACCCATGTTCGGGTCCTCTCCTCTGTTAACGCTCTATATTTCTCTTCTTCAGGCTTAAAACAAATTATAGACAGAGTCGTGTATTCCTTCCAAACACATCAGCGAGGACGAACACTGAGAGATTACGAAAACAAATAAAAACAAGTGAAAATCAGTGGCCCTGCTTGCCGGCAGGGACCGGGCTAAGCGTTCCAGGCTTGGGGCCCACCGTTTCACTTAAGTGAAGGACCTCCTTGATTGATGATGTCATGGGTCGGAGGTCAGGGAACCCTGGGTAGACACCTAATTCATTATATCCTCCGCAGGCCTTTCTACAAGAGGGCTCTCTGCTGGAGTGGGGCTGGGGCACCGGGAGCAGATTCATCACTGGGGAAAAGCTGGAGAGACAGACGAAGATGGACCCAAGGAGGATGGGTGCCCTCGTAAGTGCCAGTTAGTTTGGGTCAAACCATTTACCTGACTGTGTATGTGTGGATTCAATTTTGTGCACCAGTTTGGACAAATGTGCCCATTTATTATGAACGAATAAATGCATCACCGGTTTAGATTTTCCACTGTACATGATGTGTAAAAATGATCAGCATTTTCTGCCGCGATCAGCAGTTTTGCAGTTTAAGTAATTTTGCTCGGTAGCCTTGCTATAAAACTTTTTTTTAAACGCCGGACGTGGCAGTTTGAGGTGTACCAGTCACAGGCTGCTGGTTTGCCCATCAGCTGGTGGAAACCTTTCACTGTTAGCTTTCAGTTAAAAAATGAACAAATGAGGTAAGTGACCCAAAATAAAATTTTAATGCTGCAAGCACCAGATTTGATTATTAGACTTTTGTTTAGTTTTTTTCTAATCAAAACTTTGTTTTAAAAAACAATCCTGCTTTAGATTATTTGAAAAAATAAAAAAAATATTTATTTACATATAGACAATTGTGCAATAAATTGAGAAAATGTTATAACTGCTGAATACTTTTAAATATCCTTTTTCTTCGCCTTTTACACCCTTAGCAGTTTTTATCATATCCATTTTCTCGGATAAAACCTTAAATGTAATCAGCTCAATTTACAGCCTAAAATATTTCTTTACTTGTCTCGTGAAAAGAGGCAAATGCATAAATTCATCAGTGGGAGCACTTTTCTTTTTGTTACATTCTTGATCAATTAATCAAATTGCTTTTTATTTGCATTTCTATTTCCATGCAGACTTGGCCGAATTTAGCCGCTTCACATTCAGTTTATGTTATCCACAAAGTTGTTTAGACTTTGATTCCAGACACTGTTAGGGCAGTCCTTTACTGGAAACCTGAAATCGAGATTAAAAGGTTGCTCTCCAAGATCCCCATTTTCTATGTGAACCAATTTTCTCCATCCAGCAGTTCCGGACATCCCAATCAAACAGTAAAAGCTGGTTCCTATGGTGAAGTGATATTTGAAGGATATCCCAGATATTAGGTATTTTCCAAGTGTTTGTGGGAAATTAGTTTACATTAAACGGTCGGTTAACCAAAGAAGCCCATTACAAAAAAATATGTAAATTTCATCAAATGAGATTAATTTGTTTTCAGAGATACAACATAGGGGGCAGCTGTCAAAATTTGTATTTAAAAATGATATTAAACTAAAGTATAACTGTTATTAAATAGTTAAAGAGGTACATTTGAATCATGTATAGAAAATGTTCCAGTGGTTTTTAATTGTTCTCAGATATATACCCAGTCCAGTTTCTTCATTTGTGATGTAACTGTGAAGAGTTTTCATAAATGTGCAAACTCTTTACATTAGATGCCAGAAGAAAAGAGTGGAGGATGCGGAACCAAACATTAACCTCACCCAAACCATGGGATTGCCAAGTACCTCAATCTCACGGATCAGGTTTTAATTCTATGTAATTTCCAAATAAATGACTACCCAACAGAGATAAACTAAAATTGTTTAGGAACAAAGACGTTTCGGGTGAGACGTGTGAACAAGCGTCAGGCCCGCAGCTCGTTGGCCGACGCGGCCGCCACAGGCCTCGGGCAGGCGCCGCTTCGACATAAGGAACCAATCGCTTCCATCGGTCGTCATCCAGGTCCCACCATGATGTCATGTCCACGAGGCAGCAAGGTGATGAGCTGAGAGTGATGGATATCTGTATAGGAACATTTCCTTTTCCCGGCCAGCCTCTGTTCACATTAAAAGCCTTGCACATCATACATCACTACTGTCCCCCCGGCCAAGCTCCAAATCCTTGCACAGGTCAAACTCACATGTGGAGGCACTTTCTCCCTCCCTGCACCGCTCACTGCCTCACAGCCGATCCGAGCCGGCTGAACCAGACAACCGTCCCGTTTTTAGAACCGAACTAAGGGTCGGGTGGAACTATCTGGAGGGAGGACAAAGTGAAAAGAACGCTAGGCTATTCAGGAACCACAGCCGAGAAGTTTTGGGGTCAGAGCATAAATCTGTTGGTGAGTCCGCCTTTGAAAGATAGGGTGTTAATCACTTCCCATCTCTACAGTGGGAAGAAGAGATGTGATGGCGAGTGGAACGAGGGAGAGGAGAGATAAGCGTTGGTGGCTTCTTTAGAAAGTGTGTGATGGAGGGATGAAGGTGGAAGACGGCTGTGCCAGAGCCAGGCCTGTAGAACCAGGTTAAGGGATCCTTCTACTTCTGACTAACAGATATTGTGGGTTAGAAAACGGAATGAGGAACTGTTCATCCAGTTTTTGGGAGGATTAAAAAAAAAGCAAACCAACCATCTTTTTTGTTCCTTAAAGCATCCAAAAGGCTTCTTCACTTAGTTGTGTTCTCTTCTAAAAGCTGAGATTACTGAATCCGGGATGACAGGTCAACAAGAGATTTGACACATTTACTATGTGTAAAATTGTACACAGGTTTTCAGTCTCTTCAGAGTCCGGAACTCAAGTACGGTAGGTGTCAGCGTAACAGACACGCATGGCTCTGCCTTAAAAAGATTTACAACCACCTTTTTTTAAAGTTATACCAATGTCTGGGCAATATTATGATGATACTATATCATTTCTAATTGTATAATTGACCATTATGTTCCTTGGCACTCAACACTGCACCAGTGCTGGTTCATAAATCAGATGATGAAAGGTGCAACAGAACTCAGAGCAAATAAAGAAAAAAACAAACATGATATCAAACAGGCTCTGACACACTTGATGTCTATGTAAAAGCATTACAAATATGAGTGTCACCTCTCTGCCTTTTTTCTTTTTCCTAGCCCAGGGTTCAACACAATAAGCTGTGTTTTGATATCTGTCTCCTAGTAAACTGAACAGCCCATAAATTGTTTGTTAAAAAAAAGAAGAAAAAAAAAAAAAAGAAAAAAGGTTCAGTCTATGCCCACAGCCCCAAAGCCAAATAGTTAATTGTTAACCAAGTAAAATAATTACAGGGTCTCGTTAATGGGTGGAAAATAAAACGATTGACAGCATTTACAAAACAGAAAGCCTGCTTTTTGCCCAGATCAGATTGGATATACAGCTGCAGGCTGATATATGGCGGTGAACCCCCGGCCCTTCCAAACGCTCTAATTACAGTGCTGGGACTTGCTGCCAGCTGAGAGGAAACTCATGGAAAAATGGCTGGGGATGGGTTGTCAGGCTGGAAATCACACGCTGCCTCTAACGTGCAAGTTTTGTTAACTTAACTATTCTTGAAATTTAACAGGTAAATCAGACCTGTGCCTTTGGGTTCAAAGGGTAAAGGGTCTAATCTCTTTGCTACTGAGAAACCGGCAAAACTTTAAAAGCAAATAGAGAAAAAGAAAAATTAAAATGAGGCACTTACCTGCCACAGTTTGATGCACATGACCATTCCCAGCTTTGCCTCTGGTACCAGGGTGCAAACTGGGGTCTGACTGGGGAACTCTATAATCTTGATCTGAGGAGAAAAGATGAAAATTTAAGTTTAAATAAGGCTGGCAACTCTTTTCTAAATGCTCTCTCAAATAGGGGAAACCACCCAATTTAATAAATAACATGGAAGATTTCATGACAATTTATTCGAGTTAAGACCCAGCAGCAACCTACTGACCATAAAGTTAAAAACCTGTAAACTTTGAGCATTTCCTATGTTTTTTTGCTCGAATGAATTCGTTTTTTGGATTGCCGCAGAGCACAGACGGCACTCTGTAAGGTATACGCTGTGGGTCTTCAACTGTCCTTATTATATTTCTGAGCTCGATGGCTCAGTGTGCCTTCAGCCCACAGTACAGTGACATCAATCAGGCCAGAGCAGCTGCCACACTGTCTATAATCAGTCCCACTAAAGCCTGACCCTGGGACGTGAGTGGTGTTTTCCTGCACACATTGGCACAGTTTCTGATAGAGCGTCAGCAACTAATGGCGCCGGTGATAAAGCGTGTGCCTCCATGCCTATGTGTGTGTAGCCACATCTCTACCAAGAATAATTCCTCCGGCTTCCTCCATGCTGATGATCCGCATATTCATCCTCATTAGGCCTCAGATTAAACACCCCTCTAAGGGAGGGATCTGTATTTTAGCACTAGGCCACATCTGTCCTCCGTGTTTACCTTTGCGTGCCTGACAAAGAGGGCTTTTAAGGACTTCTCTCTGCCTCAGGTGATCACTGTTCCTGTGTGGCATCAAACTGCCCATAAATAAAACTCCCACACTATTAATTAAGGTCTCTGACACAGAAGCAATCTGTTGGCAGGAATCTCACTGTGAGAGGTAAACAGAGAAACCACCTAAACTAGCCGGGAAGGAAACCGTTGTATGCTTTTTTGTTGCATACCGAAACATTGACCTGTCTTTTTGTTTTTGCCCATGGAGCAATATTACGCCTTTGTGCTCGCTCTGCGGCATGTGCCCGAGAGTTGTTTCTTACGGGATTTCATTTATGTGGGTGTTTTACTTTCAGATACATGATAAGCATCTGTCCTGGCCAGTTATTTGTGTGGCGTAGGGTGGAGAGCCTAAATGACTAAATTAGACGTGGCATGTTTTGGTCGGCCTTTTATAGGCATGTAGGTGTGCTTCTGTCTGTGTCTGCCGGGACAATGGCATTATTGAGGTGCTGGGAGTCACAGGCGCCCTGGTGCCTGGCTTGCTGGACCGGGGTTAGCAGAGGCATGTTTGACTGGATCAGGTGACCACTCCGTCCCTTTCAAGTGTGGCTCCTCCACAGCGCGGGAAGTAACATGAATCTGAAGGCAATAAAAAATGGCTGAATAGCTGGCTGCTTTCTCCTCATCCAACCTCAACTCAAACACACTGGCTCCACACAAAACAATACAAGCTTGTGGGTGATGCGATCAAGTCAAGAGACGGACAAAAGTGAGGTTTCAATTCAATGAACCGGGGTCGGGATCAAGAGGTATTCTTTTTTTGCCACGAGCCCAGGAAAAAAAATGCAAACAACCACTTATTAACAATATGATTGTTTCATCAGTCAATGATTAGTATTATTATCATAGAAGCAGGGGAAAGCTCCTTAGTTTTCCTCTGAAAGGCACAATTAAGCATGTTTTCTTAGGCTCTCTTACAGCAATCAGACGCTTTGGACAAAAGCTCTGACTAAATGGCTGAAATGACAATGTGTCTACTCACATTTAGCTGGCGGTCTGTATTAATTACCCGTCTTTCCGAATTGCCCTGTGCCTCATTACATGAAATCTGCTTTATTAATTATGCCGCTTTGATTATCGTTTGACCCTTTCTGGCTGCAAACTACAGATTCATATATCAAGCTCACTGAGGCTAATTCCCTGATGATATCTCATTGGGTGCATAAAGCTTATTGGGCAAAGATGGCTGCACTTTCAGAGAAAGTTTGATGTAAGGCGAACATTTTCATCTAATGAATGAAAACAGTATGAACATCCGCAAATATTTAGGGACATTCAAAAGCAATGACGAAGCCAAGCTACAAATCAAACCAGCAAGTCTGGTCGGATTTGTAAAGGTTATGACTGTTCAGCCCATGCCCAATTCCCATCCGCTCAGAAATAGAAACTTTAGCTGCTGATTACAGAACGTGTGGAAGAGGACATGTTAGATACATTTTGAGCAACAGCACCCCTTAAAAAATCCAGCAGAGCTTTTTTTTTTCCCCCAAAGAGATTACTTCAGCTGTTACTTTGCCGTTTCTCAGAGTGTCGCTTCACCCTGTCAGTCTGCCATCTTGACACAGTCAATCTGAACAGGAAGTGTGCTTCCATTGGACTTAAAACTGTCCATGTCGTACATTTAGGTCGGGTTTTGAGTGTATTCATAGAGCCAAAGAACAGCAAAGACACCAGAAGTTAACATTTGAGTCCATTTTCATCACTACTTCAACTGCTCTGTTGAGACCAACTAGGATCTTTCTCCTCATTCATTCATTCCTCATATGAGGCTCCCAAAATGTATCTATGGGTTTTGAATGTTGTGCTTCCACCCAGCATAGAGTTAAGCCTTCATGTGCTTTTGTGGTTCATAAACTACAGCAAAACTGTGACTAAATGTAACAGACAGACTCTTTGCTGAAATCTCACCTCTTCTGTCTGCTGGCCGGCATAAGCCAGCAGGTACTTTGAAGGGCCCGCCTCCAACAACGCGCACTGACAAAATCCAGCGCTACCCGTCCACAGAGACTCCAGCGGCTCGCTGCGTCCTTCTTCCAGATCCCACAGACACACCTGCATGTCTCGTCCCTGACTGCTCCGTCAACAGAGAGATTAGTGTATTAAAATGATTAAATAACTTGACGGTGAACAACCCGTAGTATACACAAAACATTTAAGGTGCAGGGGCCGTATGGAGAGGGAGATTTACCTGAGGAGGGTTCGTGAGGACTGCAGTGTGCTGACCCAAATGACTGAGCTACCCGAGTGACACTCCACAGTCCTCTGTGCCCTCCTGCTGTTCAGGTCCCAGATATGGACGGTACCCTTTGAAGACCTGCAGAACCGTACAGGTTGCATGTGAAAGGCCCCTCACTGCTGTGCATACAGTACATACACAACATTTTATTCAATGGTGCTGCGCAAACACGTTTCATGGCACTCACCCAGAAAACAGAAGTGGGGGGTTTTCTCCATGGCAGCTGAAGTGGAGGGTGTTAAGGGGGCCGCCGGCCCCCCTAAGAGTATAGATAGGGGATGGGGCAGGACGAGACATCTCAATCGTGTAACTGATGGGTGGATGTTATGAGGAGGTCAACTGGTGCCTTCCTGTGATCTGGAATCAAGTAATCAGGAGATCAGTAACCAAGCAGAACCAAACAGAGAAGAGCTGTCTTTTGCTTACAGTCCTTTCTGTTCCACACTGAAAATGTTTGAGAATGCAGCGTGTGTGTTTCCTTTATTGTGAGGAGCTACAAACCCTGTGGCGCTCTCTCTCCAAGTCGCCTTCCTTTCAGCCCCTGTGATAACACCACTCTTGCTCAATACGCCATAAATCATGACCCTTGACAACTTAATTACAGTAAACAGAAAGAGATTCAAGTTTGTCACTCCTCTGGTGATAAACAGCTGATGTCCCAAAGGCTTTGGCTTTTTGTCGTTTGTAGATGAGGAAAACGAAACGACCCCAGGCATGCTGCGAGGATATAATGCCTCAACTAAAAAAAGACAGTATGATCACACAAGTCTTAGCAAATTGCTGCTCTTTTCTGACATTGTTTTATTCCTCAGATGTCCTATATCCATGTTAACAACTCCAAGTAGCTTCATCATAAATCTGCCAATAAATTGTCAATTTTCTTATGATGAAGTTCACACAATAAAGAAGCTTGGTAACTTCCTCGTATGAAAACGTTTGCTCAAATAAAATTCCCCAATACATGAAGACAGACGTTTTTCCGGTAAAACAACTCATTGGATGAAACGACAACTAAACAGGTTCTAAAACAAAACGAGCCAAAACATACAAATGAGAGTCCTGGAACAAATGGGCTGGAACCCACAAAACACAACCTGTGCATCAGTGAGTCAATGTGAGACGATGAAGAAAAAGAAACTATTTGGACAGCCGCAAGCAAATGAAGTACTTCAGTCTGCCAAGATGTTTGGAACCTGAAAAACTGTGAGTGTACCTTGAAGAACTGGTATAAAGGCATCAAATCCTGTGTTGCAGTCTGATGGAGGTTGTGGCTGCCAATGTCTAAAATGCACAGGCACTGTTTCAGAGTAGCAGACTTAAAGGACCTAAACTCTGCCGAGCTCTTCATACCTGCTAATTAAAAAACAGACTTTCTGCCTCAGGCGCCCTAACCCTCACTCAGTCTTCCCTCTCTTTTACCTTCTTTACTTTTACTTATCATAGCCCTTTGCTCCCTGCAATCAGCAGAAACTGAAACTGGAGCCGGCAGCATTCAGAAGCTGCTCATTTCAGGAGGTTAGTGGTTAAATTGTCCATGTGAATCTGTGGAGCGGAGAGACGGAGAACGCTGACCAGCCTGCCTAATTAAGCAAGCACAACTGCAATGGGCACAGAAAATCTACAAGTCACCATTACACAGAAACAACACACAAAGCGTGCTCTAAATTCTTTTACACACTTTCTTCAGAGAAATCAGCAACAACGTGAATCCGAAGTTAGAAGAACATTCAGCTGGTTTTGGAGTTGTATGAACCTGCTGAGAATGCTTTTGGATATTGACAGCAAAGGATTACACCTTTTTTTCCTGAACTAAACCAACAAGAAAGCCTTCCACCAAAAACTGTACAAACTTGTTTTCTGAGTGGTGTGAAAAAAGAACTTGGTTTTTGTGAGGGTCTGCTGGTTAAGCTGCTCCTCCTTTGAATGGGAGGGGAAGGCTGCATTCCTGAGCCGGAGTCCTGGGCCTGTATATGACAGGGGGAGGCTCATCCCGATAACAGGTGGATTAAGCATCTCTTATTGTGCTCTAGCGGCAGCCTTGCATGGCGCTGTGAGTCACAGACATGGCAGCCGAAGACGGCCAGCTTTTATTAGTCTAAAGACGAGGCTCTGCAAAACTTTCCGCCAGCAGTCAAAGTTCACCGTCAATCAAAAGGAGCGACACAGACCAGTGATGGAGACCACACTGCACAGGGCCCGACACTGGAAAAGCAAACGGATACCTTAAACGTGCTTACGATGGCCACGTTCTCTGGCCACTACTTCCTCGGTGGAGTTTTCCTTCTGTTTTCCAGGCGTCAGCATTTCCAAAGTCTGAACTGCCCCCAACAATGGGTCTGTTGTGGCTGCCAGTGAGTCACCCACTAACCCAAACACAAACATGACGGCAGCCCAGGGAAAGAGACACAGATTCTGCAAACAAACAAAACGGTGGCAGGATGTCACTCACATCTGGCGCACAAAGGCGGCAGCGGTCAAGCTGCCATTTGCAAGACAAGTGGTTTTTATATCAAATCACAGCTAGTTAATGCAAATGTTCCTTTCCAGTGCACCTGTGGCAGTTGCAGGATGTCTCAGATCCTCCAGCAAAAGCAATAAGATCTTTCCCAAGTTTACTACATCTGTTTTATTGCATGCTAACAAGAAGCTAGTATTAAACGATGGAGCAGCAGACAAAGATTCACTAAATGTCTTTGTGCCACCGGTCTTCTTATTATGTCCAGCCAAAAGAGTCTCGGACAACTAGAGCAGAGTAACTAACAGTCTGATTAGAGCTGAGAGTCATGGACGAGGCATAATAAATCAGGCTGACTGATTAATAAAGCCGAGCTGGACACGGGAGCCAGTGGGAAGAGTCGGGAGAGGAGGGCCGAGGCTCCTGCTGGCCCCTAAACAGATAAGACAGCTCTGAGTAATCTGACTCTAAGTCTGTGGATAAAGGCAGTTTGTCTCTTCTTGGGCCGTCTGTCCACACCTACTGGGTAATTAGGCCTAATTATGAGAGAAAGGTCCGCTTCCCCTTCATGTTATTAAATAAAAGCCAGCCTCGTCTGCCAAGGATCTCTCAACAGCAGCAAGGAGCTGGCGACCTTCAGATCAAACACAGCCACTATCTGTGCCCCCTCGTGCCCCCTCGCCTGCAGCACCCTCACCGGCATCACAGCGCACACCAGGCTTTGAGAGGGAGGGGATGGAGAGCGGATTCTTATTGACACAGGGCATCAAAGTTTCTCTTCTCTTTCGAAAGGTGGTTGGGGGTTCCCATCCACATTCCTCACTTAGTGCTGGTATCATGTGATCATCGGCTGCCCACCTGAGCTGCCCCCTTGTCAAATTCTGCCATTCATAAATAAGAGCAGGGAGGGAGGGATCGGCTGATCACAGGGGGTGTATTATGGAAGCTTTATAAAGCTCCAGCTTCACAGGAGCCATTGTGGATCCCAAGATCCCCTCCTCTGATATCACGTCTCATCAAATATGAGATCTGAGCTGCGTGATGAAAACCCAAAGCAGATTACCCAAAACTCAAAAGCTCTGTTCTAGATATGATTTCCTACGAGGAACCACCAAGCATGACCAATCAAAGCCTTGCATTTTCTACTCCATCTGAGCCAGTGGAAATCAAATAAGATCCCAAAATCCATCTGTGGCTTGTACATCATACATCAGCAATTACTCATTCTATTGTTTATCATAGTCAGTAGCCTTATCTGCTGCTTCCCCTGCTTTTCACCGTCTGGCCATGATGGCATTTCCAACTCTCGGGCTGGTCAGGGGGTGGTGAGCCCGCTCAGAGACCATTAGTCAGCCTTTCAGCCCAAACCCTCCCCCATCTAATACAGGTTCCTTTGAGGAGGAAACTAATGTGCCAAAGGGAGAGCAAAGTCCATTATAAAAGTCCAGTTAGAAAAACAGCAAAGGAAGTCGCAAGGAAGACACACACCCTTTATTGTGTCTTGGTGGGGGTATCCAGACTGGATAAACAGCCCGGTGTAAGATAGAGGCTGAAGTCAGACACAAGTGCACCAACACCCACTGTCAGTCACAGATCCAATGAGCGGGAAGAGGTAGCATTGTTCGCGTGAATGGCGTGAATGCTAAGCAGGGGCCACTGCAGATAAGCGCTCAATGCCTTGTGGGTGTCATTGAAGCAGGCACTGATGGAGCACCGTGTCAGAGGGTCCTGATTTAGGAGGTTCTGACTGTGGTCAACAGGTACCATGAGGCTTATCTGTTTGCATTATCACCCATTTCCTCCGCGAGGTCGCTTACCTGGGCACTATGGGACAAAGGAACACAAGAGGGTTGACAGCTCAAGTGTCATCGTACATCACCACACATACTGGGTGTGATGGCCTTTGGACATGAGGGCAGTTCACTGTCAATACAGCCAAAATATAAACACAAAGAAATGTTTATTGTGCTGTAATCCCAAAAAGACACAATGCAATAGAACGCAAGAAAAAGCCGGAGTTACAGTGTGTCAAACCACACACTGCAACGCATTCAGCTGTCAGCCATGTTTGGTGTGTTAAGAGTGACTGTAAGCAAAGAACAATGACAGGTTTGACAGAAGGTTAACTGGCTGTACAAAACACTGTTTCCTGAGTTCAACTTGTACTTTCCTGTTGAATGTAACATGTTACACAATACCCAACTTTACTACCCGTCTCAACTGTCCGCCGGCATATTCTCACAGGAGATACTATTATCAGATCTGAGGATCGGATCTGATCAATTGCATGACTAAAATGAGTACATTCCATCAAGATATCATACTTCAACTCACAAATTACCAACGAAGGGTTTTAAAAAATAATTCTTGGAAAAGAATGACAGTTTCATCAGGCTTTGAGTTTGGCTAATAGTAAACCAAATAAACCAAATAAATTACATGTACACCTACACTATGTGCAGACAGAATAAAACTGCTGTCCTTCCGTAACTTAAATGTATGAACATTACTTTAATTTTTACTAGGGAAATCACACTTTTGATTTAGAATTTTACAATGAAAGAGCAGAGGGGGAACTAAAAGATCAGACTTTTTCTCCCAAACATTGAGGGGGGACCTGTAACTATCTCACCTAGTAATCCGCTTTTATGCATTTTGTAAACCCTGAGAACAAAAAGCACCCATTTCTCCTCATATTAAACTTGCATAGCACAAAAATATGTTAAATCAGTGTAAAACAATTCAAACTACACATCAATAGATGCTTTTTTCCCTCTGTTAGCAGTTTGGTTAAGGTGTAATACCCCACAGGTGGAAACATATTCAAAATATTCAGAATTATCTAAAAAGCCTCAATGTGATTTTCTTCAGTATTCAGGCATGTCATTTCGGAAAGTGTATTTAGCTGTTTTTAAAGTATGCATGTCTCAGAGCAGTTTTTGCCCAAACCCGTTCCTAAGAATGACGAACACCCATTCATTGGAATCAGGTGTGCTTGGACAGCATGCGGGACAATGAGACTTAATGAGTAGGGTTGGGAGACAATGCTCTGAGGAGACATGTCAACAGTAGCACGTGCTTTCTACTGTCCTACATTCAAATGTGGGGCTGAAAATGTACAAGAGGAAATCGTGTAAGGGTAAGCAAGACAGTGTGGAGTAAGACAGTCGTTTTAGATTGGTATGCTAACATGTTTATGCTACTGTGCAGAGAATTACGTCATTTCACGTTCACAGACGCTCTGAATCCAAAGATATTTTTCACTTGAACCTTACAAGTCCAAACGTATTTGGTCAGTGCCACATTTTTGATGAGCATTAGCTTAAGAATTTGCGTGATGTTTTAGACAAGCGGGCTAACGGAAGTTACTTACGGTTTCTTTTCCAAAGGATATGAATGCTTTATTGTTACATGATACGTTTACATAGTTACTGAGTGCTGCAGGGAAAACAGCTAAATACTTTAACAAGTGTCCACAAAATACCATGTCAGTGAGGCACCGTAGATTTCAAAGTTGCCAGGGAAACCTGAGCAGCGGACGTGTGAGGTACGTCAAACGGGGCTGGAAGGACCACTATTTACAGTTGATGAGCTGCCCACAGATGTGCCTGAACAAAATAATCTTTTTAACTTTCGTTGTTATTTGAGCGGCTATATATTTTTCCAATTTTCATACAATAATAAGTTATTTTCTTAGCAAAATCTGAAAACATCAACTCATAGTTTTACAAATATTTTAACTTTTCTCAAAGTAAAGAAAGAGAGGATGAAGTATGCCCCGCACCCCAACCTAAATTAGAAAAGGACACAGAAAACACCATACCCTAATCCACTGAGCACACAGACTTCTTTCATAAGAGTGCTGGGACCTTTATTTGCCCATTCCTATCAAGGGGAAAGCCAGTTTCAAGCTCAGCTAGGTCTGAGCTGGAAGATTAGATGAAACCAGAGTATTTTAAACCTCTTCTGTGGACGTGGATTAGAGTCAGCCAATCCCCCCTCAGCTCAAAAATGAACAATACAAAGTACAGGTGGCTGTGTGGGAGAGTGGGGGTGGCATAAAGAGGCTGAAACCTAAATAATCTGTCAGTGTAACAAGCAGAAAGGCCCTAAAAGACCAAAGACAGGCTACATTACCATCACTGAGGGAAGTTGCTCTTAAACCAAGCTAAATGTAATTTCAATCAATTGTGAAGTAGGACTTACATGAATTCAGATAGCTAAAAACATCACCACTTAATGACAGATGAGTCTCATATGTAGACTTGCGGTGAGTTCGAACCAATTAGTGCAAATGGAACTTAAGGGACAGTAACCCCTCTGCAGGGGGTTGGAGAAAGTGTCCCCTGCCCTGCCCAGACAGATAACATCACCAACATTGCCATTAATTATTCCTTGCATCTCAGCTTACTGATGAGTTGGGCAGGTGCAGGGGACAATGCCAGGGTGCCCTTGGGAGCAAGTGCCTTGGTCCCCCCATGTGTGAGGGGGAGTAGTATATAGCAAGCACTTTGGGGTGTGTGCTGTATACAGTGTCGTCCATCCTTGGAATCCCACTCCTGTTCGAGCCGGGGCAGGCAGGTCACTTTACAGCTCATCACCAAATTAGAAATACTGTGGGTCAGACTGGGCAGCAGGCAGACCACAGAGGGATCGAAATAGATGAGAGCGCAATGATTCAGTCTGCTGGCACCCCTTCAACAAGCGGCTGTCATAATGGAGAGGTAGAGACATGTGGAGAACAAAACTTCAGGGAGGAACACTAGAATCTGTGGTCCTCTGTGAAAATAAACTAATGGTTACACAGTGAGTTGCTGCATCATGAGACAGATGAGCACACGTGCAGAAAGAAAGAGGGACAGGGATTATGCTTTGATTGGCATTGAAAATAAATACAAACAAAATATTATAGAGATATTCCGAATTGCACTGTATATACAGTTTATTCAGATAAGAAGACCTGTCCAATTGTACCTTCTAAAGTTGCATTTAATTGTTGAACTTCATATATGATATATAGTTATTTTGAAACTTGTTGCACCTAGCTCCAACTGAGTGTTTAGCAACCAGAGCAAAGACTAGTTTTATTGCTTTCTTGAGCCGCTCAACAGCGGAACCAGAGAATTTCTGCGGCTGACGTATTGTTTCAGCACCAGGACTGTTTTACTGTGGCACCATGTAGTACCAACACTATATTTTAACATTGTGGTTTGACATTATCTTGAATATTAGACACTCATGCATCTTACTAAATCTGGTTTTCAGCTGTTTAATGTCGATAATCTAAAAATCATTTCACCGAGCTGCGTCCAAAAGTGACTCCTAAGTGTGAGAAAAAGGGTATTCATAAGTTATCTCCACAGAAGAAGAAGATACAGTGCATGGGAGTATGTTTTGGATGTGCAGATATCATAACATGCTATGGTAAGGCCTCCCTAGCTCAATTTTTCTTGGGCATATGTGCAGGTGTGAATAGAAAAATCTCAGTGGGGGCGAAGAGTGACTGGCCTGCCTATCACTTTGAGGAGTATAACAAAATGCAACTTTAACGCCACTATCAGCAGCACTGAACTATCCTCCCTTGGAATTGTAAAGTGGAGAGGCTCCCGATGTCTAAGTTAATATTCTTATCAGTTCTTTTTGAAACTCCCTTTGAATGATGAAACTGTTTCTCATGGCCATGTCCACAGGGAGCTGCAGACAAGGCAAACTTTTATCTTTGACTCGCCTGTTTTATTGCACATTGAGTCAAAAATAAGTCCATTACATGGAAACTGCTTAATCTTCCAAATACATTTTAACATAGGAAGGGGTTATACTTAACAAATCACTTAAATCCCTCACAAAATATATTTTCTTTTTTAATTGTTTAACTGCCCCTAAAACAAAAAAATGCTCTATTTTCAGATCTATAAACTCTCAAATGGAACCAACTACATCTAAGCAAAAGAACTTTGTGAACTTGAAGTTTTCATTAAAACATAACTTAGGATCCGTTAGTATGGCAAAAGGTACAAACAACAATTCCTAACTGTTTAAACTGTATCATTTAGTCAAAACTAGCTGCGAAGCACATTAGTGGAAGTGGTGTCCTGTGGGTTGGTAAACCTCTATTGAATTAGCATCAAATAAAAAAATGCATAAGTGAGGCGTTTTGGGCTTCCAACATTTCAATTATACACATAACAAAATGGCTCAAAGGAGGAAATGGAGCATGGTGAAATGTGGGAAGCAAATTAACGGAAACTCTAACAATCAGCAAATTATTGGTAATAAAAGAAAACACTCACGCAAATCTCCTTAAAGACATGACAGCAGATAAGGTAACTGTTGTAAAAAGATTCAGATCTTGATTTTTTTTCTTGCTTTTAAAAAAAAACATTTTAATTGAGTCAAACGTTTTTATATAACGTCAGGTTCTAGAGAATGAATGCATCGTTAACATGGCTCAATAGTCCAGCTGAGGACGTCACCCATCTTTCATGTAATCGCAAGCAGATAAAAATAAAGGCTAAAGAGACTTTGGGTGGAGGGAACCCAGATCAGTCAGCCAGGGCGCACAATAATGACAGTTCCTGTTGATCCAGCTGCTGCCAGGATGACGTTAAGGCCAACGGCAAATTACTGGCTTTAGGTTGGTTGGATATACATCGGTTGCTCTGCACGTGTCTGTACCGAGGGTTGAACTTTTTCGTTTGTGTTTAAGGGCTGTCTGAAAAATGCTGAGTTTGTTTTGGAAACCAAGCTGAGGTGAACCTGTGCGCTACTAATTTTCTGCAGAAACCTCACGCTAGAACAAACTTGAAAACAAAAATGTGCACACTTGAAAGAACACATGAGGACGACCACACCGCTGCTGGACAGAGAAATGAACCCCCGCTGAAACCTTTGACGTGCACGCAGAACGACCGCGTTTGTGCCAGGCCCTGATTCAGTCACCAGTTTTTATTGGCCAAACAGGAAAGTCAGAGCCGACCGGCAACGACAGCGGGGCGCTCTGTTTCTGCAGCTCGGCCCGAGTTCTTCCTGCACGTTTACAGAATAGCAATCTGCTCTCATTTAAGCTGAAGGAGTTCCTCACATCTCCAGCCAGATGTACTGGCTGCTGAGCGGGAAGCCGTCATGGCAGCGGAGGGTACTTTGATTAATGCGATGTGACTCAAGCTGATAGCACCAGAGCCCCAGAGCAGACGCACTCTGAAGAATCCTGTCAGCCCGAACGTTGACGCATTCTCTGCCCTGAGAGTATTTGGAAAAACCTTTCGGAAGCGAAAAGCGGTTTGTTATGCAAGAGCTTGTAACGCCAATTATGTTTTATTTGGGTCTCCTCATGAAAGTTCAAAATCAGTGTGGAGATGTTTTCCCTCCGGAGTACAGAGATTAAGTCCAGGCTTCGTGTCAGGCTCCGTCATACTTACCTCATGATCACCCAAAAATGATTAATCAATTTGCACTATATCTGCCTGGACTGTCTTTGATGAACCAGTCGACGGACTTCTGACCCGGGTCACTCCGATCATAACATCTTTAGGTCGACATTTTGAAGGAGTTTAAAAACCGCCCTCTGTCACTTCCTGCATTATGACCTGCTGAAACCTTGTTTACTCCAGTGCTGATATAATACCGAACAACAAAGAAATTAATTGGGCAATTAATCCACCTGTCAACTGCTGTAATGAAGAAAATTGTAGCAGATCAAACAGACAATGATGAAGAGGTTGTTTAAGGTGCGGCGACAATCACCATCCCTGCAAACCCAAATAACCAGAACAAGACTTGTCTCGTTCGGGCCCAGATGCGAGAGTATTTAAATATGGTTTGTTTTTTGCGTGCAAACAGCTCAGACTGACACGGTTTGGCTCGCAGATAGACACAAACATTTTAACTTTGTTTTATGCCGTCATCAAACACGAGCTCGGCAAATCTTTGTGTTGCGTCCAAGAGTAATAATTCAGCTTCCTGTGTGGCAGGGGACCTGACTACATGATTTAGGACTTGAGGTTGCTGATCGGAATTGTTCTCTTAATGATGTCTCAAGGTCTGAACCACAACCTCTGACATTTTATGGCAAACTCTTTGTAGTACCGGCCGCAAATGCCGTAACTTTATGTAAGAATGTATCCGCTGAGCTGGTGGAGATAAAGTAAACCATCCGCAGGGCTGCATATAGCTCCTTTTTCAGACACCCACATCCCCTCAGATAAAGGCCGCCACAGTGGCCATGTGTATTGAATTTAGACCATTCCTGAGGGTATTCTGTTCTTATCAGGGACCAGATAAGCTCATTTCACAGGCCCTCACCTCTGCCGGGCTACCAGAAGAACCCCCACCCTGACAGGAGCTGACCTCACCTCCTTCTTTTCGGCTTTCCAGCCAAACGACGCGTCAAGAGGGACGGTACATTGTTCACTGATTATTTCGCAAAGCAACATTTGTTGCAAACTCAAAAATGCGAAACAAACAAGACAACCTTGACATTCCTAATGGGAGGATTCACACCGCAGACTGTCTCCACAGTTTGGAGTCTGGACGAAAATGTTTTCGCTTTGATGGTCCATTGTAGAGGAATTCAGGAGCTGTACTTTGTAAATTTGCACAGTAAACGAAAGTGCAAGGATAAAATCTCTAAAAAAGTCTTGGTTGTTGTTGTCTTTTATGAGATAAAGACAGATGATTATCTTGATTTTAGGTGGGGGGAAAAAACTAATTCAAACAGACCAGGTTTGAGGTTCCCCATGGCTTAAAAGTTTGTCCACCCCCCCAAAAAAAAAACATCATGGCTGCTGAAGACCCCTCCCCTCCCCAGTTAGTGAACTCCATCCAGGGCCTGCAGGCAAGTCAGACTGACAGGTCTTGAGCCCATTGGCAGGGCAACAGTGCCGTCATGACTGGCCCCCATTCAACTAACAGGTATAATCCCAACCCAGACTGAGCCTATTTCTATTTTATGCAAGTGTTTACACGAGGTATGTATCAGTTTCTCCTTCTCCTGACGCTTTACCAGTTTACCGGTACTGTACGTCCAGCCAGTGTGTTTTAACATGTGCTGGAGGGCTTTGCTTTTTCAGCATGGCTGCAAGAGCGTTCGACCTGGGATGACGAAGGCCCTGTGAATGTCTGACACTCAGACGACTGTCAGCGTTCAATGGGCTGGATTAAGACGGAGCGCAGAACCCAGCGCACCCTGACATGTTGACATGTTCGACTAAGTGCATTTCAAGGTGGATTTAACCTGTTTGCTCCATTGTGGAGCGACAGAAGAGTCACAATTGCTAAAAAAAAAAAAAGGGGTGGACTTTTCTCGAGACAGAGGATGAACTTTAGTCCCATCGTCTGGTGCGGGACTGACACCGACTCCACTCTCCGGATGAGAGAGGCTGCCGAGGATCTCGAGGAGGTTCAGGGGTTTCAGAGAGCTCCGTCCTTAACCAAACAAACACGGTGGAATTTTTGCTATTGTTGGTTCAGAGGCCTGACTGACAGGATTACACAGCAGAGCTGGATGTCAGCAGAGACAAGTCGGGGTCAAAGTGTGACCATCCCTTGAGATTCAGCTTGATATTGAGATAAAAAAGCATTTCTTTACAAGATACTCTTCAAATCTGCTAAGGTGTATGATTACAATTACAGTGACTCTTCTTAAGTCATTTTCCCCAAGTAACTTTAAAAAAGAAGGATATTTAATCATTTTGACACATTTGTTATTTTTATGACTTAATTACACAAGGTCACATTCATGTTCTCATTAAATCATTCAGTGTGAACCTCTTTTGTTGCTGTTACTAATTGGTATTTCAAATTAATTGTTTTTGGATAGTAATAAAAAGTAGCACTCTTGATCAGTCATCAAGAATGTTTCTTTGATGCTCTAAGGCATGTGTGATACAAAACCATGAAATCCTCAGTTAGAGAATAGTGACGATTGCTGTTCAGGTCTGAGATGTCATGTGTTGTGTGTTTTTGACAGCAGTGGCGTTCCCGTTACTGTTTTATGCTAATATTTTCAAAAATATCTCTTTTGGATCTTATGCAACTAGAATGTGATTAGCATGGATTATTTCCCCCCTCATTAGGAGCATATATGTCCTCATGAGTTCTTATTATTGTACACAACTGTATTTTTGGTGACTCCTTGTGCTCATACTTGGCGTCTATGTTAGCTTTATCTTCTCCTCTCAGTAATTTTTTTTCACACCTGGAGCAATGTGTTCAAATGAGTTAATTTTTCAAATGAGGCAAAAGTTACTAAAAGATCAAACACACAAGTTAAATGCTTTAAACCCTGGATAAAAAATAGAAATTGTCTAATTGTCTATGTTTGAGATGCAGTAAAAAAAAGATTTGACTGAATACTTTTTTCTTTGCTGGATGAGTCAGATGTCAGAACGATCTCTGAACAGTGTATAGGCAGCCTCAGAAAACAAATTGTTGGCTTAAATTAAACAATAGAAGAATCCGTCGGTGGGTATAATTTCTTTAATGGCGACACTGTAGCTCAATGCGTTGTTACTTTACATATAAATTATGTATCACAAAGCTTTAGAGGAAAATTACACTTCTCTATTTACATGAACAAATGTTTGTGACCAGGTGACATCAGGCCTCCACTCCCCAGTTTTGGGTTTTAGTGTAGGTCATCATTAGCTGGCCAACCTGAAAATTGAACCCTGACCCCCCCCCCTCCTGTGGAGCACAGCAAAGGCTAACGGGTCAAATCTTTGGAGCAAACGCTCAGCAGCGAACAGGAAACATTCATGTCAGACATATTCCAATAATAAAACTAAAAAGCACACAGACATAACGGTTTTGATGGTCCCTGGGTCCCTCCTGCTACTTTGGGTCTATCCCGGGGTCTCTGAAGTGGTTGTAAAAGCAGTGGGACCCACACTTAGTTATCCTGAACGCTGCTCGGTGTTGTGTTGCTGGGCTTCCTTGGGCTGTCCCACCTCCTTTCTCCACCTGGAGCCTCCCCAGCTCCAAAGCCCCTGCCATGCCGCACCGCAGCACATGAGCCCCTCTGTGCTCCAAGTGATAGAGTCAAGCTGTTCCTGCTGAGCGGAGGTCAGGGTCCTTCAGTCAGCACCTCGGCCCTGAAACAGAGCACACAGGAATCCCCCTTCCCTCCCTGACTCGGGCTGGAACTCGGCGCTCTCCTCTCAGGCCCAGGCCCAAATAAACCTGGTAGCGCTCGCTCTCTTTTTTTTTTCATCTCTCCATCTCCTGGCACGCTATCATTTTCCTCATCGCAATCATTAATCAGACTGGGCAGATTACACGTCAAATGAAAATAAACTACAGCCAACAGCCTCCTTATGGGTCCCTCAATTTTCAGGAGCAGCCGTCTTTATTGACAGTCCTCCTTCCTCATCTTCTTAATAAACCCAAGATGCCAGGTACAGGCGCTTTGGCAAACTCCGGGGGTCCATTAATGCTTTATTGATATAAACAACTCCCCTTATCTTCAGGGGTGATGACTCTTGAGGTCTAACCTGCCATCCATGTAAATATACAACAGATACCCCTTATCAGTTCGGCACGCAGAAAACTAGTCAGCTTTCCAGTGCCATCCAAAAGCAAATATCTTTAATAGGGATTAAAGGGATTAAATGTGCAACCTGAATGCATCCAGGCTTATGTATTATAGAGTGACTACTTCATCCACTCTGTTCTTGGCTCACAAAAAGAAATGAGAGAACAGGAGGGCAACAGTGCCGCCTTTGGGTGGGACTGGGAAGTGCAACTGTGATGAGTGAGCTGGTTAAATTCTGCTCCGTGGGCCTGGGATGTGCCTTGCTTACAGCTTTTGACAGCACATATTGCCGTCCCACCATTTCTTCTTCATGCGTGTTGTTTCGAGAAGAGCATCGGGGGACAGAAAACGGGCCTGCTGGACAGTGCCGGACCCAGGCATCCTGGTCCGGGCCTTTGCTGGCTGGCTGACTATTTGTGTGTGTCCATGGGAAATGGAGCGGTGTCGCTGCGGCGACGGCCCTGGGGCCATCCATCAGTGTCACCACGGTTGTGGTGGTGGAGGGGTGGGGGGGGGGGCTGTATGGTATGTGTCACCTACAAGAGTAATGGACAGGAAGTACAGCCAGAGAAACAACAATATTTGCAGAATATATATTCAGTAGAACGTTCGAACTTGGACTGTTTCTCGTGCGGTTTCGACAGAATCCTGAGCGCATGTCGTAACCCTGATTGATGAGCCTGTTTATTTAAAAGACGCTCGCTCTGTGGCCCAGCTCTCACTGACCTGATCCATAGCGCCGTGCTCTCGGAGCATGCGCACGGCATGTGCGTAAAGGGGGAAAACAACATGTCAGTGATCTTAATGTGAGGAGCCAGAGGTTACTAACATCCCTCCGCTACAAAGGTGCCAGAAGGCACGGGGAAAATGCGGTGCTGTGGAAATGGAGAGCTAAAAAGAGAAGTAATGAACCCAGTCTAACTGCCCTGTTTCCTGTGTGCTCTCAGGCCGGGGTGCTTAACCTCAGCAGCCCGTCACCGTGGGGTCCAGCCCAGAGCGCTTCGTGATGTGGACCTTTACCACCTCCTCAGCGCAGGTTGGGTGGATTCCTACCGTCTGCAGCAGGTGGGAATACGTTGCTCCACACCTGGGGAAAGAGAGAAAACGAAAAAACAAAAAACAGAAGCTCTTTGTTTTGCTCACAACCACACTGGCTGTCACTAGACGTGTGGCGCCATTTTTCCACGTACTGCAGGCCCATAGCAAAGCCCTGGGTGACCTCTCCGGCATTCGGCCCAGTGAAATGCAGACCCAGGATCTTCTGATCCCCGCCACGCTCGCATACCACCTAGGGAATAAAATAAACAAGGAAGCGCGTAAATAGTGCAGCTCAGCATATCAAACCAACGCAATATCGCTTATTCTGACGCACACGTCTCCCTCATTGGTTTTTGATGTGTGTGACATACTATATAAACAACAAGCGTCTATGAATAAATAAACATTATTCATCTTTCTGCATTTGATGAAGCATAACAACAATGCCAAAACGGATCCAAACGACACATACAACACATTTCCGACAGTAAGTAGCAACCCATCCATTTAGCCTTTAACTAAGAACATATAGTATTAAGAAATACAAACAAAGACATCTCACAAACCAGCCACCAAGGAATACAAAATACTATGAATGAAATATCTCTGTTACCACCTTTATGTAGCACTGGCCGGCATCTCGCTCTGCAACGGTGAATTCCAGAGGCTTGTAGAAGGCATGGTATACCTACACAGATAAAAACAAAGAGCATATTATGCACGCCGAGAGGTCAGATAACCTGCATTCTGCCAACAGTCAGTCAGTACTCTGCAGTGACTTTAAAATACCCCGTTGTGGTTCCATTTTTTAAACAGCAGAGCTTACTGAGTTGCAAAGAAAACACTGTGGGAGTTTCCAGGGGTGATCTCCTCCTGTGTATATTTTTTACAGTGATGTGTTTCACATTTGCCAGAAGAAAAAAAAAAATCAATTAGAAACACAAACAAACTACTGACAGAACTGATGTGGAAAAATGGAACCCGTAAATACGCCGTCTTAAATTGCAGTCGAATCAAAAGGAAATGTACTGCTGGAGGAAATGATTTGTTATGGTTTTTATATTAACAACATCGTTATTTTTCACTTTTTACAACAGAAATGAAGACAATCTCATTTGGAAAGCGCGGTACTGATCCGTGCCCAGAGATCCCAATCTGTCCAGCTCCTAAATAGCACGCCCTGCTCTGGTTCTGCCGCTGATTGGGTTTCAGAGTCCTTTTCGAGACGCGCATGCAGCGAGTTTCAATCTGCGAGCGAACGTGCCGACACAAGTTGCGAGGGCCGCGCAGCTGTCGGGGGGCTGGACCCGCTGCTCCTCCTCAGATCTCAGCGCGCCTGTCATCGCCCCATACACACCTCAATCAGACCTCCTGCTCGCCTGCCACTCACGGCGAGGAGCCTCGGCTCGCCGGCCGGACGCTTTACCGACAGCCTCCTGCAGGTGTTGCCGGCATCTGGCACATTGTGCATGTACACTAGCACGTAAAACACAGAGCTCTTTTTCTCTGGCACTGTGCGTGTGTGTGTGTGTGTGTGTGTGTCAGTGTTTGTATAGCTGTTGTGGGTCATTGTATTTTCTATGATGGCCGATGTAGTAACGGGCCTCTGACACTGCACAGTGACTCATTATACGAGTTATATATACAAATCGTGCAACATGAGTTTATGTTAAACTGACATTTCTGCATTTCTACAATAAAATGTGTTGTTACTTTTACAGAATAAATTTAAGACAGCACATAAACAGCACATAGCTCATTACTTGCGAGTCAAAAATGTTGTTTTAGGTTTTTCAAAGTCTAGGCCGGGTCAAAGTGAGGTGGGATCTTTTTGTAATGCGTCCTGTCATAGCACGATCCATGCTTTTCCAGCCTGAGCCGATAGGCCTAGAGTGCGATTACAGGGACCCCGCTTACTTCTATGCCGTCCTTTCCGTGCCTCTTCTCGGCCTCCTCCTCAGACAGACCGACGCAGGCGTACTCCAGCGGGGTGAACACGGTGGTGGCCACCTGCCACACACAACGCAAAAAGCCCCGTCAAACCCTCAGTTTGTTTAGCATCCTGGGTCACGTTTGGGCCATTTCTGAGCCGCTGTCACTTCTGTGGGGCTTAAGAAGATTACTGCTCCATTTCTGTCACTGAAAATAATCTCGAAATAATAACACAAAAAGAGCAAAATGGGACCAAACACACCTTTAAAAACAAACACACAAAAGTCCACCGGCACCATAACGAGGGAAAATTGTAAGAAAACATTCATTAAAACTTTCCAAGGGACGAAGAAGCACACCGAGAATTATGAAAAAAGATATTTTGGAAAATGCTGACTTATTATGAATCATCTTAAAGAGAGGCTAGCAATGAGATGAGTGGTGGTGCGGAAGAGAGTCCAAGCAAACAACGGCAGGAATGGTCATGATTTTTCTTAAAATGAGGCCTAAAATAATAAGCAGAAAAGACCACATAAGCACAAGCTGTAGAAAGATGGAGGGAAAGTATCACCCTCTGTAAGTGCGTCTTACGTTGTCATAGTTCATGAGCTCAGCGCTCCGACCAGCAAGTCTGTGGGCCAGAAGCTTTCCGGCTTTAATGGCCGTCGGAGTCAACTCAGGGCGGCCCTGAAACAAAAGAAATGGGAGAATCTATAAATATTTTTAGAAGTAGTTTGTTTGGAACATATTCCACTGTCAATAATAAAAAAAGCATTGGGAACCATTTAAAAAAAAAAAAGGTAAAATACATTTTTTTAAATTTTTTTTTATATTTATTGCATCTGAAAAGCTTCAGGTCTAATCCAAAGGTCTGCCGTCTCCAGCTGGACATTAAACTGAGTAGCGTTCTTTTTTGTTCAAGCTAGCTGTTTGGATGGTTTTTGTTCCCCTGAATGCTTTTGGCTGTCAAGTGAAAACTTTCATCACCAACTTAAACTTTGGTAAAATGCTGGAATCCCCATCTCTTGTGACTCTTGTAAAGTGTTTTCTGATCCTCTTTTTTCTCCACCTACATTGCAGCTGATGCAAAACATTTTACTGTACAGCTACAGATATGGAACAAAAAGCTGTGTTGTGCTCCATTTTTATAGCTTTACATAATTTGAAAAGTTTACAAATGACTAACAAATGGTTAGTTTTCATTGAACTTTTCGTTAAATTCTCAAAATAATTATTATTTTCATTATTATTAAGTAATCTAATTCACTAATATAATAATCCATCTGACACATTGTGCATGCACGTAAAACACAGCTACACTTGTGTAGCTAAAACATTTACATTTTTTTACAGAAACTATCAGAATTAAAAAAATCATTTTGAACCTTTTCATTTTCCAAATGTGTCGAACCACACACAGAAGTGAAAAGACAAGAAATTCCCAGGTGGTTGATTGTGAGTCAGTGACCAACAGTGTGCTTTTAAAAATTCTAAACTATCAAATGTTCCAAAAGACTCTTTGCCATTGTGTTTTTAGCTTTATTGTTTCGGATGTCTGCGGAGAGGCGGAGAAGCAAAAGCATACAACTGGACTGAAGAGGAAACGGTAAAGCCGCCGGGCAATTCTCAACATATGACTCCAACCTGTTAAATCACACATCCTGTTGTTTGAGAAGCACCTTTTTTTGAGCATTTGTTGGCAAAATTAAAGGTTGAAGTAAAAGTAAAAAAAACAACAACAAGATGAATCTGGCGTGATGTCGACACTGGCAAAAAAAAAAAAGTTTGGAAAGTTGACAGATTGGTGAGAACGGCGACTCATCAAAGCGAGCCGTCAATCACAGAGACGCTCTGTCAGAGAGTGTGTTTGTGTGTCATGAGACCTGGGAGGCAGGAAGGAAGCTCACAGCTGGTCGGGGTGAAAAAACAATACCGACAGCACATGCAGCAGGTTTAACTTGTATTGACATGGAGCCCGCTCCAGTGTCTGGAGAAAGGCCGCCTTGTGCAACAGTCGCTCTGCAGCCAGGTTCAGTTTCCAAATCCAATGGTTTCATATATTTTCAAAAAATAAAATTACCTAGTTTAACACAACTTTTTCATGGGTTGCCACTGAAATTTCCATTTCCATTTAATTTTCAATGCAAACTTGCAGCTCTAGCTAGTCACATGGCTGCAAATTGTTCTGAATTGGAGGTTTTGAGCAGCAAGTTTTCACTTTTTTTGCCTAATTACCGACCAAAAATCTGCAGAATCTCTGTCTATCCATATTTTTCAAAGATGCAAAATGCATTTTCTCGTAACTGAGGAGTATGTGGAGCGACGTGCTGCGCGCCTGGACCTGCATGTTATCGCTCTGTCTCTTCACTACTTACATTTAATATATATTAGATTCATCATAAAATGCATCATAAACTACCTATTTCTGTAGTTTTAACCCCCTTCAAATATAAGTTGGCAATTGAGTTTCTTTCAACTGACTCCAACCAGAACTAACAATTAGATGAAACAAACTTGTATCATGGAGCCGGCGGATATCTGGGTCCGCTCTTAAATCTAAAAATTATTCACAGCACCTGGGAGGAGTGTGGACTTCCAGTAAGTCATGCAGAGTGCTACAGTTTAAATTAGGACCAATAATTATAGTGCTTTTCCACAGGGGACTGTTTCCGCTGTCAGTGTGGAATGTGTTGACAAAACTTACCTCACCGATGTCACCGAAAGCAAAGATGTTTGGCACTGAGGTGGATTCATCGGCGCCTACAATTATTTTCCCCGACTCCTCGTTGAGTTCCACGCCAAGCCTGTCCAGGCCCAGGGCTTTGGTTTCAGGAGCTCTGCCTGAGATTAACAGCAGGAAACAACTGGGTGTCAAAAAGATGGTACTATTCTGTGGGAAACCGGATGGGAAGCATTCAGCTGAGGCTTTCACTTTTTTGTGAACCTTACAATAAGAAAAGAAACAAAAAGGATCCTTTCTGGGTTTTGGCCTGATGATTATTAACTCAGAGCTTCTAACTGCAGTACCGCTGGTGTCTTCGTAACTCCACTGATGGTGTAAACAACAACAACATCTGGCCAGCTGAGTGAGAAAGCTCCAGAAGGAGGAACTGATGAGCAGCTGGGAACGGGTATCCCACCGACCCCAGAGGACATGCCGAGGTGCGAATTCTGACACTTCCTGGGGGACAGCTGACTGATGCTGTCGACACAGAGTCTCCATGGTGATGGAGACTGGACCACGCTCTACACCCCCCCCCCTTCTCCTCAACCCAGCTCCTCACAACCTGCCTGGGTAGCATAATAAACACACAGCCCTGAGGTACCCATGTAGATGCTATCGGACAGCAAAAATAACAAACCCCCGAGACCCTTTTTCCTGGCTGGAGCCAAAGAACAACGACCTCCCTCCAAATCCCATTCTCAAGACCAGTGGGGGCTATGGTTCTCAGCAGTGTGTGTGGCTGAGTGGAACCCAGCACGGAGACTTAGACGAGAGGGGAAGTTGGGCTGTCATGACCAACTCCTTGGGGAATGCCTCCTAAATATTTTCCTGTCTTGTAAGACCACAACACAGCGACACATGTCAGTCTCAATTTGCTCCAATTTCACAAAGAAATGAAATTTTCAAAAAGCAATATACTGGTTGTTTGAAAGAAGGGCTTACAAAATAGAAGTTTTGCTTTTCCTTATTATTTCACCTCCTCTTCTGCAATCCTTTCTCTTATTAAAATGGAAAACTATAAAGCCGCTCTTTTGTCATTAAAGCTGCATGAATTAATTAATATGAATTAAACTTTTATGATAGAATATCAACAGTTTGAATAATCAAATGTATATTTAATACTTTTTCAACCCCTGATGTCCTAACAGTGAAACCATATAGATCAAAATGGGTGGATAGCTTGTATGCTAATGATATAAATGACTTTCTTCAGGCTGAAACTGAGTACTTTTACAGCACAAATTACTCGTAATTATACTTCCAAAAGCATTGGATTACAAAGGAATGAGGTTTTTATACAAATCTGGAGTTCTGCTCTGAACCCCCTCAGACTGCAGACCAGCAGTGATCAGGACACAGCCGGCTGGTCAGTCAGAGAAATGGCTGGAATGTGGACCAACTCACACATTTGATCAAACTGGCCAATCAGGACTAAGCCTGTTGTGAGAGGAAGCCTTGAGGCTGTTTTTCAAAACAGCTACAACAAATCTCCACAAGTTAAAATGAGCGCTGGCAGCTTATCTGATGGCACTAATGAACACGGACAAAAGGGAGAGCGGGGAGACGGAAGCCTGTTATTGTTGGAGGGACGGATCGTGCACGCTGCCAGAAACTGCCTGTGCGTTTCATTTCCAGCCAAAAAAGATTTTAAGATGCTAATCAATAAAAGGCTCCACAGGAAAAAAGGGTTAGCAACACGTGTTTGTAAAACTAGTAATGAGTTACAACCCACAACCTCAAGACGGCCACGTCACTCTCTGCCTAACGCCCGTCTTACATCATCCGATCACTGTGAACAAAAAGAACCAACAAAAAGCAGCAATTTTTACTCATTTCAGGCAGGCAAAGATGATGTCATACACCTCCAAAACCAATCGGGCGTTGGCCTAATAGAAATCTGATGACAGTGGTGATGACATTTGTTTTTCTAACCAGTTTTCTGATTCAACTCTGAGCAGATCACCCCCTTAAGAGTCCCAGTAAAAAAACCAGCAGGAAGTCATCATAAATTATATTATGTCTGTTAATTAATACAAGTATTTAAAAAAAAAAGCTTTGAAAAAAGAAAAAACTCACAACAACAGGTCACTTCAGAGCGCTTTCAACTGATTCTGATTATAAAGACAGGCAAGCCGCTCACTGACATGTGAGCCAAAAAGTTAATAAAATAAATCATTCAAATGAGTCACGTGTTTATTTAAAAGGATCAAGAACAATGTTCCACTGTGAATGTAACAGTAGAGTTCTTTTAGTCACGAACTGACCTCTAAAGTCATTTGGCACTTTTATAATGTATATTATTTTATTTTTATTGACTCCTAAAGATCATATGCAGAACGACACAAAACTAAATCTATTTAGTGACGTGTTATGGCCACCTGAGGGGGACTTCACAGCAGAAATAAACAAACTTAAGAGTTTTCCCTTTGTGATGACTCTACATGGACACTGGTTTATTTTTATGAGATCACATTAACATAGAACCTCACAAAACCCCAGTGAGTAACAATCCTGTCCCGGTGTACTCAGGTTCTCAGTCAGATCCACTCTTTTCTCTCATTTCTGACTTTGAAAAGCTAAGATAAATGATGGTAAACAGACGTGTGCAGAATTGCTTTAATACAGTTATTCAAAAAGGAGCGAGCGTTTTACACTCAGTCTGAGACCGGACTGACAGGAGCCAGTCCCCGGTGGCCATTTAAGAAAAAACACTTCCCCACAAACTAAGTTTTTTCAAGCCCTGAAGGTTGCCGCCTGTATGAAACAGACAGGCATATGCGCTTTAAAAAAAGGAAACGTTTTTTTTTCTTTTTCAAATGACATCCGTGAGCGCTGTGGAGGGCAGTGAGACAGAGGACTGATGTGCCCACTCTCAGTACGCAGACAGGAAGCTTGGAAATGCTCTGTTTCCTGTGGTGTTTCTATGGGCACACCTGGACATGGGAGCGGCCCTGAGGTCAGGAAGAGCAGGGGAAAGGTGGAGGGAGGCAGAGCAATGGAGGAGGATGTGGTAGACGGCGGTGATACTGTCCACCAGTCCCCTCTGGCCTTTAATAACTCCGCAGAGGCCCGGGACTCGGCCCGGCCTCTAGTGTAAGGCCACAGTAAAAGGAAGTGGCCTTGTACTCATAACTCCTGCATCCACACATCAAAGAGCAGAGGGCCACATTGTTACTGGTTCTCAGTGAATCGTATGGGAACAAAAACCGGCTCTTGCGCTCATGTAGCCATCGTGTGGTTTTAGCTAGTCGTGGCAACTAAAGAGGTGCCTCCAACTGGAAGCTGTTTCACTTCCAACAGCTTTCCATCAAACTGATGCATCAAGGCTGTATTTTGACAGTTTTTTGTTTTAAATTTGGAGATGTTCAATAGAAGCTGGGTTTTGTTCCCATCATTGGGGAACTTTTTCCCTGGTCGGAAATTCTCGGGAAGTAGCAGCTCACGCAGGGAAAACCCGACGCCAGGAGATTTGTCGCAGCCTCTTGCCGGGATGAGAGGGAAAAATTTACATCACCTCCTCTGCAGGGTCACACACATCCTTGTCGCTGTCACACGCAGCGACCAAATGTGACACCCCCCCCACACACTCACACACACACACACACTCTCACACGAACTCCCCTTCACAAAAAAAACTCAGAAAAGGCAGAAACTTCAAGTCAGATTTTCGGAAGTGAAATGTTGCCTTTAAAAACGTTCAACCGGAATAATCCAGCAACTCCTGCCCCGACGGATGTCCCCTTCCATTGTTACGCACGCTTCTGGAGGAAAAAGGAGAAATGAAAACGATAGAATAATAGAAAAAAAGAACAAATAAGTAAGCGGGGGACGACGGCGATGGCAGACGGAGGGCCGCGGGCAGGGATGGCAGTGACAGACGCAAGGTTGGTTTCCGCAGGGCTGGCATGAGCAGGAAGGCACAGGCGGAGAACAAAGAGGGGAACGCGCTGACCTGTGCCGGGGGGCATCCTGCTCTGACCTGCCCTGCTCCAGCCAGAGAGCCACGCAGCCAGCGGTAGGTGATTAACACTTCCCCTGGCCGTTCCCATCACTCAGGCTTTATTACTTTGTTTACAGCCTTGATTCCTCTGCTGTCTGCTGACACCGCACTCACTGAAGATGACGATGAAACCAGCGCGGGGACAACTGAGTCATGCCTCGTTCAAATCCATTTCATAGGTGTGTAATAACAGGGGAACAATACCAGGGGAGGATAACGTCAAATCTCCTTAAACGCAGTCAAAATAGGGCCGGTTCCACTAAACGTCATATTCAAGTTTCACTTTAATCAAAAGAAGCAAAAGTAAGTCGATTCACTAAATGCTGTTTAATAGTCTGATTTCTAAAACGGAAAAGGAAACGTCTACAAATCTAAACTTTTCATTGGCTGCAATCCCATCAGGAAATCTTTGGGTAATATTTTTTATTTCAAATAACCCAGCAGCTTTAAATGAAGCACTTCCCCTAAAACTATAATTAAATAATAATAAATAAAAAACAACAACTCACCAACCGCCCACAACACAGAGTCGTAAGTGTCTTTGAGTTCTTCGCCGGACTGTGCCAGGGTCCACGTCACCTGCAGGCCTCCTGACGAAAGCCTGTCCACTCTTTTCGGGACGGAATTCCATGCAAACCTGGTCCCGTAGGACTCCATGTAGTCCGTCACAAGACCAGCCATTTGCTACATAAAAAATGAGTTGGACCTTTAAATGCCGTAAAAATTAGCTTCATGATAATGTGAACATGCTTCTTTCTGATAAAATAGCCATACCCGATCAAATCCCCTGAGAGCCATGCTGCGGACCATCACTGTGGCGTCCAGTCCGATGCCTGTGAGGAAGCCGGCACACTCAAGAGCAACATCTGTATAAAACCAAGCTGAGGAAAACATCACTTACGAGTCATTTACAGGACCATCATAAGGACTTGCAGTCCTGCACAGCATCATGGTCTTTTTGTATTAATAAATTGACTTAAAACAGAGGTATACATTTACTGAAAGGGTATTTATATGATACTTAGATTCAGTTTAGGAAACTTAAAAATGAAGGTTTTGGATCTGCATTTGTAAATAACAGCAGTAAAAGTTGTTCACCGATTGAAGAAGATTTAATAATAATTTTTAAAAAGTGTTTTCACGGACAAAGCCCATAGGCAGACAGAGGATACAGCTGGCTCCGACCACAAGTCTGCAAAAACACAAAGAAAGAGAAGCTCTTACCAGTACTAACAACACCAAACTGATACATACAGACAATTCATTACATTGACTTCAGAGCTCTTTGGCCAAATAAAACAAAGCCAATCTGAAGCTAAAAATGTTTACTTTAAATCCTGGAGTTATAGAGGTGATGAATAACAGGACCTTATAGCCTCAGTGGTGTCAAGAAAATGTAGACTGTAAAAACTGTTTCTGTGCGTGTGTGTGGTCCAGGTGAATCACACTCATAATCCGGCTTTCAGATCTATGGTGCTGAGGAGGGCTAATTGCTGGCGTTTAGGCTAATCCCTGCGGATGGGGTGTGCCATGTTCAGGGCTCAGGTCCACATATCGACCTGCTGAGTGAAGCCCGTCACCCATATGGATGGGGCCCTTCGCTCCCCTGTTTTTACTCTTCTAAAACAGACCCTCTTCCCTTCAGGTCCGCTCCAGCTGACAGCTCTGGGTGCCTGCGGCGCATCCTGCCCCAGTCCAACCACTAAAAGCACCAGCACCAATTTCCCCATCTCTATCTAATGCACTGTTGCACTTAACACGTATTGTGAAGTGGCTTAAAAAAGATCAGGTTGAGAGCTTTGGCTTGATTCTATCCTTTCATCACAGAAAAACCACCTCCTTTCCCCAAAAATTTCTGCTCACCTTTCAAGTTAGCAATAGCTATGGTAACACCTTTAGCTATGACTATATTAGGGTTAGCTATAGCTGAGATATTTAGCAATAAATATATTAAGGTTAGTTGTAGCCCACACTTTATGTTATGACAATATTAGGGTAAGCCATAGCTATAGTTAACACCGTAAGATAGGTTTATATAAGGGTTAGCTAAAATATAGGTTTATATAAGGGTTAACTAAAGCAGAAACCTTTAGCTATGACTATATCAGGGTTAGCTAAAGCTAACACCTAGAAATATGAATATTTTAAGGTTAATTATGGCTAATATGAATTAATCTTATACTAAGATAACTTTAATCTTAAATTAGCTTATATTAAGTTAACTTCATGATAGTCATGGCTATGAATATACACTATATTGCCAAAAGTATTTGCTCACCCATCCAAATTATCGGAATCAGGTGTTCCAATCACTTCCATGGCCACAGGTGTATAAATTCAAGCACCTAGGCATGCAGACTGTTTTTACAAACATTTGTGAAAGAATGGGTCGCTCTCAGGAGCTCAGTGAATTCCAGCGTGGAACTGTGATAGGATGCCACCTGTGCAACAAATCCAGTCGTGAAATTTCCTCGCTCCTAAATATTCCACAGTCAACTGTCAGCTGTATTATAAGAAAATGGAAGTGTTTGGGAACGACAGCAACTCAGCCACGAAGTGGTAGGCCACGTAAACTGACGGAGCGGGGTCAGCGGATGCTGACGCGCATAGTGCGAAGAGGTCGCCAACTTTCTGCAGAGTCAATCACTACAGACCTCCAAACTTCATGTGGCCTTCAGATTAGCTCAAGAACAGTGCGCAGAGAGCTTCATGGAATGGGTTTCCATGGTCGAGCAGCTGCATCCAAGCCATACATCACCAAGTGCAATGCAAAGCGTCGGATGCGGTGGTGTAAAGCACGCCGCCACTGGACTGTAGAGCAGTGGAGACGCGTTCTCTGGAGTGACGAATCGCGCTTCTCCATCTGGCAATCTGATGGACGGGTCTGGGTTTGGCGGTTGCCAGGAGAACGGTACTTGTCTGACTGCATTGTGCCAAGTGTAAAGTTTGGTGGAGGGGGGATTATGGTGTGGGGTTGTTTTTCAGGAGCTGGGCTTGGCCCCTTAGTTCCAGTGAAAGGAACTCTGAATGCTTCAGCATACCAAGACATTTTGGACAATTCCATGCTCCCAACTTTGTGGGAACAGTTTGGAGCTGGCCCCTTCCTCTTCCAACATGACTGTGCACCAGTGCACAAAGCAAGGTCCATAAAGACATGGATGACAGAGTCTGGTGTGGATGAACTTGACTGGCCTGCACAGAGTCCTGACCTCAACCCGATAGAACACCTTTGGGATGAATTAGAGCGGAGACTGAGAGCCAGGCCTTCTCGTCCAACATCAGTGTGCGACCTCACAAATGCGCTTCTGGAAGAATGGTCAAAAATTCCCATAAACACACTCCTAAACCTTGTGGACAGCCTTCCCAGAAGAGTTGAAGCTGTTCTAGCTGCAAAGGGTGGACCGACGTCATATTGAACCCTATGGATTAGGAACGGGATGTCACTTAAGCTCATATGTGAGTCAAGGCAGGTGAGCAAATACTTTTGGCAATATAGTGTATTTTACAACATGCTATATGAGTGTCATGTTATTCAGCTAAAACATAATGCCATTTAGATTGTTTACAACTGCAAAATCTGTGTATGGAAAAAAACAATTAAATGCCTGCATAATTAAACATAGGCTTGCTGAATACTTTCCACCCAATATAAGAATTAAAGGCGTTATATATATTGATTTGTTTTAAAGGCTTACGACAACAGAAAAATAAACATCTTATCATCAGTATATTATTTTTCCTGAGTTTAAATTTTGCCCCTGTGCTACTGTCCATATCAGAATCTCTTTCCTTTTTTGGGACACATCCAGACCTACATGTTACACTGTCTGAGCACACACCATTACATCACTATCCACTGGCAAAAGCTCAGAGACTTCTACTGATAACATGATGAAAGCCGTCAATTTTACACTCCAGCCCTGAAGCCAAATCTGTCACTTAGGTGTGTCTGTGCTGGAAGGTTTATTAGACAGTCATCGCTCAGCTCGGTGCCCCTCTTACTCCCTCCCGGCTCACCGCATCTTGGGCTTGACTTGCACCGCTGATGGCCTGACAGCACAAAACAGTAGAAGCTATGATCTGCAGTTGTTTCTTTATGAGGGATGCTAAACATCTAACTCCTGACTGCCTGTGGGGATGCAGAGGACTCCACTAACTATCAAAGTCTTCAAAGCACTTCCTGAGCTCAAGTGGTCTCATAGTAGATAATCCACCTTAATTTACACGTAACTATTCTGAACAGAATTGTGTGAACCTCGGTAAATTTCGTGCACAAATATGACCCAATTTTTTGGGGTTGTGTGTGTTAAAAATATTAAATCAGTGGTCACAGTTTTATAAAATGCCATTAGCAGGATTACAAACCACATGTGGTTAGAAAGCTATAGTTGGAAATATCTGGATATGAAGCAGGTGACAAAGTTCGGGGAATTAAACATTTTTCAACACGGACAGCTGAAAAGCTTCTGGGTTTCATGGAAATGTCAATCACTGTGGCTCAGACTTCTGAGAAAATATTCCCTCCATCTATTAGATGCTATTTAAAATCCTACCTGTGCAGAATTACAAAGAATTCCAAACTTTCATTCACGTTGCAACTGTTTAAGCGGTTACTAAACACTTGCTAATTCACTGATGAACTATTTCATATTGCCACAAGTGGTCAAAACAGCTCGGAATACCACCCCTCCGTTAGAATCCTGAACAAACAAATCAGAAGCAGGAATATGCTGCTAATAATCCATAATCAAACAGAGAAGATTAATCATGAGCCCAAAAGTCTCGAAATCTCAACCTTGACAACATTAAAAACAGTTACTGACTCCGGTTATTAAACCTGGGATTCTCGAAGAGCTTAAAAAATCAAAACAATTATTCCCATGTATCCGTCACCATGGAGCGAGCAACCTCTGCAGCCCAGGTACACCTCAGCCACCAGTCACCATCTGCCTGACGTGCCAAGAGGAAACGTCAGGGAAGGACCAATTAGCCAGGTGATGACAGGAGCTAAATGGCTGGATTAAAGGGCTTGTTCTGCAAAGGTCAGGATGCACGCCGCTAATCTGAATCATGAGGCGAGGACAGGCGGACAGGAAGAGAGCAAAACAAACTGTATGTCTCCGATGAATGATGGCCGTGCGTGACAGTGGGATGTGCAATGTCAGCGAGCAAGGCAGCGCAGTGGATAGGCACGGTATTAATTCTCTCAGGGTCGGAGGTCCCGTTTCCTTTGTAGTGCACACGGAGTCAAGCTGGTGTCTGGAGACCAGAGCATCGCTGTTTTTTCCCTGTATGTAAATTTGTCCCCTCATGGCCTCTCTTAAAACGCCACGACTGCCGACTGGTTTGAACCTATGATGACTTTATTGCAATGAGCGTGCGTGTAGATGAACCGAGGCTTACGTTTTCCCAGGAGATTTTCTTAGCCAAAATAAATCGTCGCTGGTGATCCCGTGCTCCACTGCTCCAGGGACCTGTTAAAACAAATGCACAAATAATGCTGGGCACAACCCAGATGGAACGCTTTCCTCTCCAACAGCTGTGATTTGTGGCATAATAACCGAGGCTGCCATGTGGAGTTCACCAGGAACAGTATAAAGCCATAAATGGAAACGTCCCGGTGGAACGATGACAATTATATTTACATTTGTGGGGTATTTGGGTCGTCCGCCTGTGGCAATCACAATGTTCTTTGCTGTCAAGATTGTCTGTGAGAAGAAAAGAGAGAGATATGAACAGATTTTGGTTGGATCCTTTAAGAGAAAAAAAAAGAGAAGACAGACAAGTGTTACAATAGATCAGATGGGCTCCATAATATTCTCCATTAAGGTTACATCAGTTAACTTGCGACACAGAGCTGAGAATCAGTGTTTTCTTTCTGCCAATTTATGATGTTTGGTACTTATATTACTGCGGTAATGTGGAACAGCACGCATCAAACTGCAACTGTGATGGCAGACGAGGGAGAAAAAGAGAGTGAAGGAAGAAAGCAAAAAGAGCTCAAGCAAAATAGTGGATTTTTTGGAGTATTTTGGTGCCTCTTTTATTACAAACATTTCTATTGTATTGTATTGAATGGGATGTGTCTTGGATCTGCTGTTTCAACTGTCCCCATTTCTAGCCTCAGTAGTTAATGTGTTCAACAAGAAATTAAACTCTCAGTTTACTACCGAAAGTTTTTGCATTCAAACGCAACAGTTACAAGTAAGTGCTGAAAATAGGAGTGCAAATACAGCTAAAGGGTAACTACTGGTGTGAGCTCTATGGTTCATGTTCATTTTAAATCTTAATTAAAGTGGCTGGAGAGGAATTTCTGACTAAGGGCAAAGTTGGTGCATTTAAAGCCGCAAAAAAGAGAAAGCTGAAATACTGCATTGAACTTGATCAACTGCCATGTGGAGCAGATTTATTTTTATTTTCGTTGGAGCACATTGATGGTTTGTTCGAAAACTGACAAATGCAGAGAAATGCATATGACTCAGGTTTTTGTGGTGTATGAGGTCTGAGCTCTTCATATAAAAGAACAGGAATAAAAAGAAAAGGCCAGTTTGCTCTTAGTTGGCATCAACTTGGAATTGGTTCTGGTGAAGTGTGAACTTTGTAAAGCACTGGCCTCCAGTCGCTTTGATCCTCAACAAGATGGGGCACTTCTAACAGATTAGTTATTTTGCCAATTTACATAGTTGTCATACTCAGATTGAAAAGGGATTTACTCTTATAACAGCTTGCCAGCTGAATTAAGTGAGTTTGAATAATACACAATAGTTGGTAAAGAGACACTGACCTATTCATTCAGGGATAAACACAAAATAGACAAAATTATAAATAACAAACAGAAATGGCATCAGTGAACAGTAAAAAGTGCAAATAATATTGTAAACTGTATTAAAAAGGCAAAACACACAAACAACCTGAATAGAAAATAGTCTATTAAGCATCAGTAATGGATTATTTTAATCGGTGTGCTGGAAAACACGGATCGGATTTTAAAAAAATAGATCGGGAGTCTGGATCGGCATTTTGATTGCATTGAGTTCTTTTAGATTAGAATTTAACCAGTTTCTACATCAAGTGTCTTCTGAGATTGCTACTAATGTGTTGTGTGATTTGAGAGAATGGATATTTCCAAATAGCTATTTGTTGTGTTTTCAATATTGGCAGCAACATGAATAAGCAGCTCACCTCTTTTCCTGCTTTCGTCACTCCTCTAACTGTGTGTTCATCCACCAGACTTCCTTTGAGGTTCAGATATTTCACCTTCCTGCAGAGCAGAGAGACAAAAACTCAGAATGCCTGATGGTGATTTACTGAGAATCATCATAATCACATTACCTTAATCAGTCCAAAATGTACCTAAAGTTAACATAAGGTAATCTGTGATCTGAATCTAATCTGTAATCAGTGAAATTTAAAGGATCCAGAATACATCAGAAGGAGTAACTCATGTTGTTGCTCTGAAGGACAAATCTGAACAGGAGATTGTTCAGAATAAGCCAAAATGTATTTACTCATTCATTTTGTAGTTGGCCCCAATCACAACACTCAAAATGAAACTTTCTAGGTAAAAATCAGCAGGTGCACTCCTAAAAAGAAAATGGAGGAGGAGGATCTGCTGTGACTCACTTGTCTTGGAGCTGGACTCTGTGACCCCAGTTCAGAGACCTGACGTGGTTTTGTATAGCTTCTGCCATGCTGGGCCTAAAAGTAACACAAGATGGGTCGCTTCATGCACATAACACACCACAGCTTTTAAAATTAATGTCAATGAATACGTTTTAATTACATGATACAAATAGTTTAAATCAGCACAAAAAAGACTTTCAGTGGCATAAAGGGAGACCAGAAATGCCACCCAGAGTAATGTGGTTAGCAGCCACTTTGTTGTAACTCAGTCTGAACACCAGAGGGTGCTGTTCCGCTACTTTATGAACAAAGTGTTGAAGTCAGCCCTCAGAAAAGAAAGCAGCACCCCACAGTAGCTCAGCTTTGTCCACACTCACCAGTCATGGCAGACTGTCCCTGATATCTGCCAGCCGTACTTCTGAGCATCTTTGACTGCACTACCGAGCAGAGCAGCCTGATGCATGAGCTTCTTAGGAATGCAGCCCACGTTGACACACGTACCACCCAGACCCCATTTGGTGCCTATTTTGGAATAACATCAGTAAATTAAGTCATTGATACACATTGAAACTGAAAATGTCCTTTCTTCTGATGTAGGTAAGAAAGTAAGGCTTTACCTTTAGCAGATGGTTCCACATAGTCTAAAACAGCTACTTTCTGTCCCAGTTGTGCAGCTATATAACATAAAAATATAAATATTAAGGAATAACAGAGAATAAGGTAGAAATACATAAACATAAATAGAAACAGGCTTTGAGCCTCACCTTCTTTTGAACAAGCAAGGCCTCCAGAACCACCACCAACAACCAGGAGGTCATAATCAAACTTTCCTGAGAGATAATACAGAGTGTTGGATCCTGGAAACAGTGACATCTGATCCAATGATACAGTTCTGGCAGCAATCTGCTGTGATTGATGTTCTCTTTAAACGCTTAAGAAAAAAAAAGACGTTTAATCTCCTTCTTTCTTGGTAAACAGTACTGAGTGTTAAAGCTTTTAATAGTCTTCAGGACTTGTCTGTAGCTCCAGGGACAGAACCAGCTCAGTGGCTCTGAATAAATGCTTCTGATTGGGTTTAATAGTCGAGGACGCAAACTAAAAATAATTAGTAGTACACAGCTTTAGCAGTATTTACATCTCTCTACATGTCAAAATAAATAATTAGTGATAAGGTCGTAATTAAAAACTACTTTTTCTCAGAGTTCTGTGGTTCTTCCGCACAGTCTGTGAAGGCCAACGCTGTACATCTAAAAAAGATCATTCATAATACCTGTAAGGTTCCTTGAGAAAACATGCAAACATTTGATCCTTTTCCACCGGTGTCTGCTTCTGGAGAGGGCAGCCATGTTGTTATTATGAGACGAGGACCCAGGGTCCTGACAGAGGTGGCGACAGCACCGCCTGAAAAGAAACACCATGACGTAAATGTTTTTTCTGGTTTACTCACGTAATCCCCTACAGTCTTTTATCGACTATATGTATTACACGGTTTGATAGGAAGTAATATTAATTATGGTATGGAAACCTAATGGCTACCATGACATTATGAATATTAATAAACTTTTTTAAAACAGATTGTACGTGGCTGGGTTTTAACAGACTCATCAATGACTCAATGGAAATATTTAGTAATAACCATGTATCAAATTAACTGTGCTGATTTAAAAATTCTGAGGAGATGTTTGTGCTGATAATGTACACATTCTAATCTCTAAAATTCTAATATCCATATTATGTAGGGTGACTATATTTTTATTTCCAAAAAGGAGGACACTTCTCAGGATTCTCAGATGTTAATGAACATGCTTTTTATACCTCAATGGTACAAAAATAACTCTGGCAGTAAAACACAATCTGTAACCAGTGACAAAATTATAGCCCTCATTTAAAATACCTAATAATATCAAATAATGTTATACATATGACCCCTTCTGTATGAGAAAATACAGCACTTTCGTTTCGGCATTTTGTCTCCGATGCAGGTTGTTCTGCTCCCTGTGTGTGAGAGTCCATTAAGTGCAGCAGAAGATAGAGGCGTTGTCCAGCACGCCGTAATGCTGATCCTGAAAGGAGGCAAAAGTATTTAGAATGTGAGCGAGAGGCACAAAGACGAGGATACAACATTTAAGATCGAGAGCCAAGCATTAGCAACAGAAAAAGGGGAGGGAGCATAAAAGGAGAAAGAAAGAGAAAACAGAGGCCTTGAAAAACTTCACCCTACCACAAAGTCCAGACTCTGATCCACAGAGACAGCAGCAGTCTAGGTCAGATTAGAAGAACTCACAGACACATTTGTCACTGATGGTTGAAGTGTATGGGTGACGTGCATCCAGAGGAATCCCTTAAACAGGTATTCGTGTGCAGGGGGTTAAGAAGGCTTTAGTGGTTGATACTACACTTTCAGAACCTTACAGTAAGTCTGGTGTGTATGCACACACGTGATGTAGTGTATCATGATACAATGTGTGGATGTTGGATCAGTTGTTTTCTCTCAGAGCAGCATGAGAAGAATTAATGCAGCAGTATGCTGGATACAGGTCAACATGTTTCTTTTCCGTGGACATGTCAAACTGCCCAGCGTATTGTCCATGACAGCGGAGGACCGGCAGCGGGCATTTCCGAACATCACCAGTGATGACAGCTGTGATTTAAGAGAACGAGACAGTTTTTCTTGATTTTTGTTTGGCTGTCTCGGCAATGTTCCACACCCCTACCCTTTCCCCTTGGCCAGAGGACGGGCACCCCACCTGTCCACCCCTGGCCCACACACCACCTTTTTACTATCATTTTAATGTCAAATCTGTATACATATAATATAATTATTGTTAATTTTAATTTTTGTTGTCCAATTTGCTGAAGAACGCTCACTTTGTACATCTTTTTTATGTTTTTCAGTGTCCATGTGAGCTTTGAAATCTCCAGCACCTTTATTAGACACTGAAACATGTGTGCAAGCTTTGCAAACTCAGCCTCCCACTTGTCAAGACCAGGACGTTACAAGGGGGGGGGGGAAGTCAGTTTGTGTGTGAAGCTGCACTTTCGTTTCGCCATCTTATCTCCAATGCTGGTTGCTCTGCTCCCTCTGGGTGAGAGTGTGTGTGTGTGTGTGTGTGTGTGCGTGCGTGCGTGTGTCTCGCTAGACCCGCCCACAAGGCAGCACCTGGGCCCCTCGAAAATATGTAGGGCAACAAAGTAACTAGTATTCTGTGCAAGCACCTGTCGATTTAAGAATACGAATATACGATAATGGTCCAATGATAAACAGTGAAAACCGAATTTATAATCATTTCATGAATTTATAATCCCCCTCCGGACGCAAAAGAGGACGTTTGGTCACCCCACATTATGAGAGGGTATCAGTGGATTATTTATCCAGGTGTGATGTTCAACAAGCTGCTACAGTAAATGCATTTCATACAATCTTATCTCAGGTGTGTTAAAGAATGTGAAATACCCTGGGTTTACCAAAGGTGGGAACAACTGCTGCCTATCAAGCAGGAAAAGCCCAGAAATCTAACATGAGTTTGGATTCCGTTACGTGTCTCCTCTTGAGTTGTGGTGAAAGGAAAGGATCCCTGGGAGAGAGGAGAGGTCGCTTGATTCCAGTTCAGTGGTGAAATCAATGGTGAACATGTAGAGCCTGTTTTTTTGTGTGAGCAATATTTGGTGGCTATTGGATGTGCATCGAGTCTTTTAGAATTGGGTTACCGCATTTTCCGCATTATAAGGCGCATACAATAGAGGCTGGGGGTTACTTTATGCATCAATTAGATGGAGCTGCGCTAAAGGGAATGTCAACAAAACAGTCAGATAGGTCAGTTCAACTTTATTAATAGATTACAAACCAGCGTAGTTTAAGGTATAACATGTAGTGCAATGTTAATACACCCCACATAGTGGGGGGGAACGATTTAATAATATGAATATGAATAATCACAATATAGTAACATTCAAAATGGTGCGATAACAATATATCAATAACTCAACGTTGCTCAAACGTTAATATCACACAACACACAAAATAAACACGTAAAGCTCACTTTACTAAGTTATTTCTCATCCACGAATCCCTGGAATTCTTCTTCTTCGGTGTCCGAATTAAACAGTTGGGCGAATACGGGATCCAAATTGCCCAGCTCCGCCTCTTCGAAGTCGTCATTGATCGAGTCAGTGTCACTGCTGCTGTCTAGCAGTTCAGTGACAATTCCTGCCTTCCTGAAAGGACGGACCACAGATGAGACTGATATATCAGCCCATGCGTTTACGATCCACTGGCAGATGGTGGCGTATGTCGTCCGGCGCTGTCTACCTGACATTTTCATGAATTTATAATCCAAACCATAAAACTGTCAGAAACAAGCGGCACTGAGGACACTTCATTGGAGAGTTGGATAACTTTGTACCATTCAGCACTTCAGAATAATGAAAACATTTTTTTATTTTACGGGAACGAACTGGACTCGAATATAATATTCAGTATATTTATTTACATTGTGATCATGTAATCCTTGTCAAGACCGGGACGTTACAAGGGGAAAAAATGTCAGTTTGTCTGTGAAGCAGCACTTCACGCGCGCGTTTAGGCATCAAAACAGGAACATGAGCTTAAGAGCAGGGTTTGTTCTTATGCTTTCGGAGATGAGCTGGAGTAATTTGCTTTTTGAAACATCTCTACAGGGAGGGCTTCTTTGGCTCAAGGACTTCTTCAGATGACGGTGAAACCTGTTCTGTGGAGGTGGCCGGGCTGTGTAAAAGTATTGGCTCGAGGAGAGCTGGGTCCACCTGCACGCCGCTCGCCTGTTGATGAGAGGCGCCATCATGGCAGCTGCTGTCCTCGTCTGAGGAGGTCTGCAGGTGGGGGCAGGATGGTGACATTGGCCCAGGTGTGCTCAGGTGGAGGGGCGATTTCGGTGACTTCTCCGTCGGATTTCCCCTCAGGAACAGCAGGGGTATATAGATAGATAGATGATAGATAGATACTTTATTGATCCCAAGGGGAAATTCAAGGTCCCAGCAGCTTAAGACATTACACACAACATACACTACAGTTCACACAGTATCTTACAAAATCACTAGAATCAGTGAAACGCTGTACAAATTACTTCCTGAGTCTGTCTGTTGAGCATGTCAGGGAGCGTAGTCTCCAGCTGATCAGGCTCTTCTGCTGCATGATGGTACTGTGGAGTGGGTGACAGTCGTTGTCCATGATGTTGACTAGCTTGTTCAGGGTCCTTTTATCTGATACTGATGTGATGCAATCCAGTTCAGTCCCCAGAAGAGTGCCAGCTTTCCTTACCAGCCTGTCTAGTCGTCCAGCATCCCTCTTCTTAGTGCTTCCTCCCCAGCATGCCACAGCATAGAAGAGGACGCCGGCAACAACAGACTGGTTGAACATCCAGAGGAGCTTGCTGCAGACGTTGAAAGACCTCAGCCTCCTCAGGGAGTACAGCCTGCTCTGCCCCTTCTTGTAGAGTGCATCAGTGTTGGCTGACCAGTCCAGTTTATTGTCTAGGTGTACTCCCAGGTACTTGTATGTGTTCACCACCTCCACCTTGACCCCCTCGATGGTGATTGGCAGCAGGGCAGACTTAGATCTCTTGAAGTCCACCACCATCTCCCTGCTCTTGGTTGTTTTGAGATGCAGGTGGTTTTGATGAATTGATTTTCGGACAATTCATGGGATGGGTCCTCAGGGCGACTAGCCACCTCATCTGGATTTGAATCCTCTGTTTGAGCAGCCATTTCGCCCAGATTTGACTCTGTTTGAGTGGCCACTTTGCTCTTATTTACCTCCTGTGTGTCTGAATGGCCACTTCGCCCTTGGTTAACGCCTGAGTCTGAGTTCCCACCTCTCCTTTCCTCGAGCCCTTTCTGGCCTTTAAGTTCTTTAACTGTTGACAGCCTCTTGTTGCTCTCCTTGACCTCCATCTGCTCAATGATCCACTGACACTTCCTAAAGCCCTACTTGCAGGCTGTTCTTTTAGTGGACTCTTCTATGAGATATCCTTCAAGCTCTTGCCACAGTGAAGCCTTTTCTGTGAGCTGCTTCTTCAGAGTTTGCACCTCTGTGTCAGCCTCTTTCAGTTTACGGATTGTAATGCAGAGATCTGTGTTTCAATCTTCAACTGCCTCCAGCATTTGAATCCTCTGAGATTTGCTGATACCTTCATATCTAAGTCTGTAGTGGCTGTCTTCATGACGAATTTTGGACTCACACAAAGTCCGTATGAACTCGGCACTTTTCCTTATGTTCTGCTCATGTGTGAGGCGGATTAGTTGCTCGTTTTACAAGATCTTCTCTGTTTCTGTGAGTTTCTTCTGGTAGATGTTACATAGATTTTCAATCTCCAGCCTCCTTTTCTTCCCCTGCTGCAATGTGATCTTAGGTTGGAGAGTGTTCAAGTTGAGAGTTGTAAGTTCTTCAATTTGGCTTTCGGTCATTATGAAGGGCTGGATGTTCTGCTCTCCCTGGTTTTCTGGAGGAGGCACAGACTCTAGGGACTGTTCCTTCTTCTTATCTTCAGACTCTGGAGACTCGCTTTTCAATGTTTCCTCATGGTCTCCTGAGGGAAGATCTTTGGCTTACTGGACGTTGGGTTGAATGTCCAGCTCTTCTCTACCGTTAACGAATGGGTAGAGTATTATACCACCTGGTTCGTTTCGTGTCGACAATGTCGCCCCATTGAAATGAAGCCTGAGTGGTTTCGGGCTGGCTGATGAACTGGAAGTTTTCCATTTTGCTGGCATCAGATCTTTTCTTTGGACGATTTGTTGATACAAGCCATAAACTGTGTGAATTAAACAGTTATGAAGACTTGCAGAGTCTTGGAATGAGTGTTAAAGGTTCTTGGTAAATCTTAATCTGTCTCAGAAAAATGATCCGTCTCGAACAAGGTCAAAGAGGTTTCTGACTGTAATTCTGCTCTACTGTTGAACCCTTGAAGGATCCTGGTCTTCAGTCTTGGTCAGTACTTCTTTTTTACCCGTGTACCTGATCACTGACTCCCTCTCTTGCACCTTCTCACTCGAAGAAAAACCATCAACTCCGATTGCAGAACCATCTTTATTGTCTGCTTTACTGCCTCTTTTGTAGTGCTTTAAGTGAGTGATACTAAGCTTAGTTTTCAGGATGTTTCCTTTTGATGTCTGCAACACAGCTGTCTTCCCTACAAGTTCTTGGATAACATATGGTCCAGAGTAGTCAGGCTCCATCCTGGCTCCTTTCCTAGTTTTCTTCTTTTCTTTCCACACAGAGAGGCAGCTGGTCAGAATGCTCTCTATGGTGCATTTGTAGAAGGTCGTGAGGATGGGCGGGGGCAGGTGGGCTCTCCTCATTCTCCGCAGGAAGTACAAATACTTCTGTGCCCTCTTCACCACTGATGTGGTTTTCACAGACCAGGTGAGGTTGCCCGTGATGTGCACCCCCAGGAATTTGGCGCTGCTGACCACCTCCACCGCTGAGCTGTTGATGACCAGTGAAGCGTGGCGAGGCCGGTACTGCCTTAAGTCGACGATGATCTCCTTCGTCTTCTCCACGTTCAGGATCAGGCTGTTGTATCTAGACCAGCCCACCAGCTGCTCCACCTCCTCTCCGTAGTCCCGGTCGTTGTCGTCTCTGATCAGGCCCACCACCGTTGTGTCGTCTGCAAACTTCATCATGTGATTGGTGGTGAACCTGGAGGCGCAGTCATGTGTCATCAGAGTGAAGAGGGGGGGGGGCTCAGGATGTCAGTGCAACGGGCCAGTAGTCATTAAAACAAGTGACTTGAAGTTTCTTTGGTACCGGAATGATGGACGCAGACTTAAAGCACGCTGGCACTGTGGCTTGGTCCAGCGAGGTGTTAAAAATGTCTGTGAAGACACCAGCTAGCTGACCTGCACATTCCTTGAGCTCCCGCCCAGGTATATTGTCGAGACCCTGGCCTTCCGCGGGTTGACTCTTCTCAGTCTTCCACACGTCGGCAGAGTACCTCCTCTTCCTGATGGGGAACAGCCTTCACGGCTGGAGTGGAGTGTATGTATGTACATATGTATAGACATGTATATATGTATATGCTGTTGTATATCTGGAGTTGGTAAAAAAAAAAATTCCCTCTGGGATCATTTAAGTATTTCTGATTGTGATACAGTGATTAAAAAGGTTACCTCAGTGAATTTGGTAATGAAGACTTTGGCTTGTTATTGTTAACATAAAGATCATTATCAATATTTTAAGTGACAATATTGAAATGTGCCAGATTTGACATTTGCCCCAATTCCTTCTGCCCCTCCATCTCTGCAGGAATAAATGTCTCAGCTGGACAAAAACCATGAAAAAAGCTGCTGCTTTTCTCCTTTAAATGACAGTTATGTCTTCTCACATGAAAATTAAATTAAACATTTTAAAGCCAATAAAGGAACATTATATACTTTAAGTTAATTTAGTTGTGCCGAAAATGAATAAAAAATAGATAAAACAAAACAGTATTTTTTTAAACGTTTTTTTTTTTTTTTTTACCAACATGATATAATGCTTCAGAATAATGAAGACCGCAAAGATGACGATGAGGATCACCATGCTGCATGTGAACAGAATAAAAATAAGTAGGAATATCCAGGATGCAGACAGGCCCAAAAAACATAATAGAAACCGGACGTTTTTTTGTGTTTTTGCAATCTGGAAATTACGAATGAACTCTGCTTTAACTATTCTCATGAAGCATCCATGCGCTGCAGATTTTATACTCTGAAATGTGAAAAGTCCTTTGCAAAAGCTTTTTATTAACCACATAGATAACAAGCTTCTATGTGCACCACCAGATAAGAACACATTCAGACCTCACATTCACATTCAGACCTCATGACCATACCTGTAGAAGACGATCTGCCCAATGGTGGCCATGGCACCCGAAAAGAACTCAAAACTGTTTAATTTTGTGACCGGATTCAGTAAAAATCAGTTAGCTCTAGCAGCAACAACCTACTCCCAGAGTCCACTTAGTCCTCACAAACAATCCCACATGTGTTCTGCTGTCTTTAAACTGAAAGTGCCTGTTTCCTGCTGCTCTCATCACACTAAAAACACAACACCATGAGTAAATATTACATTTAAGGTGTGTGGCATCATTTTGTTGTTACAGTAGCTCCCTTTTCTTATGTAAAAGAAACGTGTCAAATATTAAACAGGGCTTTTGGATCAGGATTATGTTCATGTACACATTATGCCATGTCAATAAAACTCAAAAGAGAGAAAATCATTCTGGAATCTCTCACCTGTTTTCTTTGTGGGTACTTATCAGTCTCATTCTAAATTCTCAAGTATTGATATATCCTACAAAATATTTCAAACCCAGATGCAAATTCTTATATTTCTCATATTCATCTACTTTATTCATATACTTTACTTTGAAATCAGGCATTCCTTAAAGCCTTGTCTAAAGATACCCATAAAGTGGCTGTCAAGAGGACATTATATATATATATATATATATATATATATATATATATAAATAAATCTTTCATTCATGGTGTAAAATAGCTTTAAATAGCTAGGTTGTGGGAAAATTATGGGTTCAGCTAAGCGCTGCTCTCTCACATTCACAAATATTAAAAAGAAAAACACACACACGGCCAGACAGCAGTCTCTTTTCAGGCATGATTTATTGAAAACACACCAAATTTAGACTCTACAAACCAGTATTTTTCCGTTATGTTTAACAAGCGTAATATTTGCCTCTGGTTATTAGTAAAATTAACATTATACATTCTGTCAATGTGGCATCGCTTCTGCTCGCTACGAAAGGATTAACTTTTGTTTCTCTAGGTAACCAAACCCATTTTTCCAATGACTCTACCTTCTTTAAAAGTTTATGGTACAATGTAATACAAGGCAGAAACCCAACGAGGGTCTACACTACCTGGGGTGTTGGTGGGGCCGGGTGCAGGATGGAAGAGGGGATGAGTAGAGCTGGAGAGGGAAGGGGGGTGACACTGGGAGGAAAGGGGATCAGATGGAATAGAGAGATGACACTCAGGGGAGGAATAGAGTTATATAAAACACTTATCTTTATCTACCATGGAAAAGGTTAAGGCACATGATAGGTACAAACACATCTGCTACTCAGTTACTTTATTTGACGGTCTTGACTCAGTTATATCTACACAGGTAGGTTTTGTTGGATTGGATGTGTGTCCATGTATTTTTTTAATCTTTTTTTTTTTTTTTTACAGCACAGTTGTGTGGCTCTTTATTCTGTCAAATGTAGGATGGGCTGCACAGCCACAAAACCCAGTAACCTCTTTTATAGAATTCCTGTGAAAAAAGCTCCCGATCCTTTGGTAGTGGTAGTGCGTGGTGCGTTCAGGATCAGAGAGTCACGCCGGCCTTTAATCCAAAAAATTAAAAAAAGCACACACGTTTGAAGACACACAAGGGGTATCATGACTTATTTTAGCCTCTGAAGTTTGATGCAAATATACACTAACTTTTTTTGGAAAACAAAAAAAACTTTTTGTAGTTCATTGATTTTTTACCACAACATACACCTTTGTAAACACTGTGTAAAATATGCAAGCTTTATAAAGTCACATACATCACAAGGAAAAAATCAGACGTCAACGCAGGCACATGCCGTTTGCCTTGAATGAGACGCATGAGTGATACCAGCTTAGATTGGATTCTCTTAAATGGGAATATGATTCTTCTTCCTACGCTATACAGCTGTAAAAATATATACTATGTGACCCAGTCTCATGACACACTCCCTCACAGTGCTTTCCATCTCCTTCCAGCAACATCCAATCATCCACCTCTGGCTCCTCCTGCACATGAGTGATTTAGTTAATATCCAAAGGACACCACAAAAAACTGGCACTTGGAAAGAATAGAATATAAACATCTGTACAGATATTTCGTCATGCTCACGACTTATTATTTGTCTTTAAGATGCAGCAGTGAAGGAGGTCGGTGGTGTGGAAATGAAGAAAACAAATGAAGGCTCTTTCATTGACACTGCGATTTCCTGTTTGTTTCCCGTTTGTATCCCCACCTGAGTGCCAACCTTAAAGAGGCAGGGGGCAAGCAGATGTCGATTCACCTCCTCGTGAAGAACGTTGCGGATAAAGAATTTTTTTTTCCTGTAACCTTTTTGACAAATACAAAATATAAATAGGTGATCATCAGCGTAACTCGACAATATTTGACACGTTTAAAGATATACAGATGGTTATTTCTTGCATACAAACATGGTGAGCCTTTATCAAATGACATGTGCTTTCCAAAGGATGTGATATTAATACACAACAAACAAATGTGGGATTTTTGTCGTTTTTCCTTCATTTTTCATTTTTATCTGTTTTATTCTAATATACATTTATATAAAACACAACAAAAAAAAATGCTTTTAGACCTATCGTCTCGATAAGTAAACAGTCTTCTTCTTCAGATCGTTCCAAACAAAATGCGGCTTGGCCTCTACAGGCAAACGGCCGGCTACGGGCTCTAAAACTCTTGATTTTGCCACTTCGGCCTCCTTTGTGATGCTGTTTGAACTAAAACGTTAACTTCATTAGACGTACGCTCTTTGCCATTCGCTTTCCTCCATAAACTGGACGCCAAATACTCGTTTGATTTCAAAGCGGCGCACTTTTGTAACCTTAAAAAAACAAAACAAAACAAAAAAAAAGCAAGAAAAACACAGTGAACCCAGACAGATTTCCAGTTCATGAGAGCAGACTGTGGTTGGGAGTACATGGTTATATACTATGCTACAGCTCTTCTGTCCACTCCTTTGGCTTTTCTTGTCCATCGCATCGAACCATAAATCAAACCTTCAGAAGCCTTCAAACACACGGGTCCAAACCTGTTCACATCAGATTCCGATGATAACACAATAAAGACACAATTCTCCAAAACCCTTTAAACTTTCTTCCAGACTCAAAAACTGAGAGGTTTCCTTCAAATGCACATTCCTCTGCCTTCTATTTGACTTCACCTTGCCTCCTCTGGTTATGGCACCAGCACCGACTTCCATACGCTTCCCTGAAGAGCTCCACAAAAATAAACACTGTAAACTTCACATGGCGTCCGGCGGGAATGTAGATATGACTAGTAGTAGGAGTAGTCCTGTTTTAATAGAATTTGTGTTATTTTCTCTGAAAGGTATGACTGAATGTTGTCTGCTTGGTAGTCACTGCTGTGGTTCTTTTCTTTTTATGTCCTCTTTTTTTTTTGTACAAAGTTCAACTCGAAGGTGAGCTCCTGTGAAATGGCAGTAGTGATGAGAGATCCTCTTCTAGCTGGGGTGTCACATTGTTGCTATTTTAAGCCTTGAGGAAATGAGGGAGAGAAAAAGATACATGAGAACCACAGTTTGAGTTGGGAATATAATTAATTATATGACATTAATGAAGAGTTTCAACCCAAAATCCATCATGTCAAAACGTGAAAGTGCTCTTTTTCAGGCTGTGAAGAGATCTGAGCTTCAACCACAAGAGCAAACATGTCGGGAAACTTTGCAAACTAGTAACAGAAGTCATTCTGAGTCTCTCAGACGTAAACATTCAGCAACCCACAAAAAATTGGCTGCGATTTCAGCAAAAATGTTCATAACTTCACAAAGATTTGTACTGGTCTGTTCTCTGCTGCACAAAATCTAAAAAGTGTTTCAGGGCCTGTTCAAATCAACAGATTTTAGACTTAAATCAATGCATTAACACAAGAACGCTTCAAGAAATCATTCCCTGTAAACACAGGAGATCGGCCATCATTCAAAGCTAAGTTAAAGCTCCATGAGGCAGAGAAGAAGGGGAGATGCCATCTTTAATGGGCCAAGGCTCTCTAAAATGAGCTGAGGCAGGGTTGAGAAGTTCTGTAGTCAGAATAATAGAGGATCCAAGCCCTCTGCTTATTTCAAACTAATGATGAGATTGAACATCGTGTTGAATACCAGAGTTCGGTCTGAAAGCCTGCTTCTCCAGCCCTATGAGGACATAGTGCTGCTGGAAACTGGACATGACCCATATACAGGCCCAAGTCTGTTAAGCACCTGGAATCCTGCCTCAAACCGCCCTCAGGTCACACACCTCCACAGGCTGCTGTTAGAACATCAATCAGTGATGCTGAAAATCAGAGAATTTTTTTGCACTGTCCAGACTGTTTTGGAATCGGATGCAAACCATCACCGCCATCGAACTGAAACACTCATGCCGTGAGTGCATGAATTTCGAGATGAAACTCCCCAGTCAAAAAAGGCAATCAGGTGGAATGGTCACACAAAAACATGAAAAACATCCTCGTTGGTTTTAAGTCACACTCAGTCCAGATGGAAATGAAGGCAGAGAAACAGATTCTTAATGTTCTTAATGGCCTCCTGGAGCTTCCATGTCAAGTGAAAAGCACTTACCTTTCCTTCAAATCATTACCTGAACCTCTGAAAATATCAACAAACACCACAAATCACATGTGAGGTGTTTCCCACAACAGCACGATGGATGGGAGGGAGAAAGCTGATTGGATGGCCGCTAACAAAGATGGCTGAGACTGGAGGATGACTGTGAGGGAGGCAGTGGGCTCTGACAGGTGGCCAAAGGCCGAGGGGGGGGGGAGGGGGAGGGGGGGGGTGACAGCAGTTAAAAGGAGGCAGGGAGATAAATATGACTGACAGAAAAATGGCAGCTAATGAGGCAAACCCAGACCAGTCCCTTGAAGGGAATTTAAACAGTAGATAAGCCCAAAGGAAGCTCCGCAAAATAATTAGAAGTTGTCTAAATGTTAGAATTTATCAGACATTTATCATGACATTTCGCTGCTCTTTTATACAGGCAGGCAGCTTTATTAGCTCTTATTAGTGTGGGGTTTTCTCTAAATAAAAAGTCCCTGATACATTTGCATGATTGTAAAATAAAAATTGTTTTGATTTTACACAAGAAATTATATGCATGACAAACGTAGACAGCTAGGAGCCTCTGAATATGTGTGCATGTTTTATTTCTCGCCTGTGCTGTTTTTTAAGAGAGGGGCGCGAGGTGCTGAAGTATGTCCACTTCTACGAGTATTCACAGCCTCCTGGAGATCTTTCCAGGTGGCAGTAGCCAAATTTCCATCTATTCATGTCTAATTCGGACTTTTCTCTCGTGGATTTCTTTTCTAATGGAAGAAAAAGGAAAGTAATTATTTGGAGTATGCCTCCAGCTGACGGCTCTGGGAAAAATTGGACAGTGGGTCTGAGTGATTAGATGTGAGAGGGTGAGAGGAAAGCAGGTAGAAATGACGAGCAAACAGAGATGGATGGATGGGAAGGAATGAAACAATCCAACCAAGAAAGTTTAAGAGGTTACATTTGTTTTAGTTTTTTTTGTTGTTTTTGTATTTTTCAGACCTACCATGCATGCATTTAGACCCAGGAGTCAACAGGCTGGGGCTTGACATCACAAGCGTCCACCAGACTGACCGCAGGCCTGTTACTCCTGATATAGTGTTTCCTATTTGTGTCATTCTGTCGCCACGGGAGGACAGGTTAGGGGAAAAAAAACACAGTGAAACAAAAAGAAGGTCAATAAATTTGCACATAAACATCCTGGCACACGTGCACGCAGCATCGGGGAAGCCTCTGTTAGTTCATCGCATTTAAGAGAGCTCTGGAAGGATGTCAGAGTGATTCCAAAATGATTCCACGCAACAACATGCAAATCAAAAAAAGGGAGGGGGAAGTTTCGATAGCCAAGCTGCATTCAAAGCGGGCAGAAGAAGACCTCTGGGAGGAACAGACGGCGGCTGTGGAGGGACGCTGAAACGCTGGAATTGATGTTTGCCCCGATGTGAGGAGAAAAGTGTTGACCCACGCTATCGACCCAACTAAATCTGTTTATGTTTGACTTTGATTTTTGAAGAAATCAAATAGCATAAATAAAAGAGAACCCCCTCGCTCGGTTGCAGTTTACCATTGAGCAATCAAAAGCTTTGGAGTGCCTATAGAGTCTAACCAAGTTTCACTAATTAGCTTGAGGAAAGCCTACAGCTACATAATAATGATGGTATTAATTATGAATGTTTATATATGAGCTCACTCATAATACTTTCACATACAGCACTGTGCAAAAAGTTTTGTTCCTCCGCTCATTTTCTTTATGTTGTGGTTCTCCAGGGTTTCTGAAAGGACTGTAGTAGCCTGGTACCTGATCATTTTCAGAGGAATGCCAGGGAGAAAAGGCTAAAATACATGAAATGATACACAAAGTCCATTTCTCCCAATTATTCATATCACCGTTACCTACATTCACACTTTTCATACAATGTACGTCATTATGCAAAGAAACGAGACTTCTGCACAGCCCTGAATGTTGATTCCTCACTATGTCTCATCAGGCAGATTCCATCCAGCACACGCTCGAGTTTGAAGATGAAAACTAAACAACCGAAAACAAGTCATCTGACATGTCGGACACCCTCCGAGGCCTTATCTTCTGAGGGCCCCTTTGAGAACGGTTTGCCAATCGGGCTGAGGCTAAACAGGCTCTGGCTGCTGTGTGAAGCGTCTGCCCAATCAGCGGACGACCCCTTGTTAATGCGCCGTTCTGTTCCGTTTCTCCGGCCCGGCTCGTCTCCGCAAAGCGTGTGCCTTGGCGGCTCTTTTAATCAGTCTCAGATTAATTACTCGACAGACTCCGAAAGCTTACAACGCAATTAACTGGTGGCTCGCAGATCTGAGGCCGTCCACGGCTCCGAGCTGCGGTGGCAACGTCAACAGAGGACGACTTCCAGCCTCTTTAACGAATCAATATGATTAAGAGCCGGTAATGAGGACCACCACAGAAAATGTGTGTGTGTGTGTGTGTGAGGATACAGAGAGCTGACACGTGATAACATTTCCACAAGCCATCATTATTTTGTTGTCTGTGCCATCAAAGTGGGCCTCTGTGAGTACCTTTGACGGTTCCCGTTCTGTCAGGTCCACTGAGCCCTCAACCGTCTTATACTTGCAGTCCTTGTCCCTCTGGTCAATAGTGGAGTAGCCATCTAATGAGGGGACAGAGAAACAGTAGGTAAATTCCTCCGACTCTTGGGTAGATACAGTGAAAACACATCCCTTTTAACCTGTGGAAAAAGACAAATTCAAAACTCGACACGTTTTACACAGAAAAGTGGCACGCACATGCACATAATTAATTTGTGCACAAGACTTCCAATGCAAAACACAGTCCCACCTGTGGGTTTGTACTTGTGCAACTTCATGCACCCCATGACAGTCAGGTGCCATGTAGGTGCCATGTAAGTAGTACAATAAAAAATATATTTTCAGGAACATTATGTTGGGAACAAAAAGCCTAAAAAAAATAAGGTTCTAAAAAAAAAAAAGCTGTGACCTGATAAATAATGACCACCATCATCCCTCGTCAGTCCTTTGAGCCCATATAAAGTGGTTAGTAGTAGGAAAGTGTAAAAACTCTCCATTAGATGTACTGTAGGTATGTGACCATGCTGTTCATGTGTTCCATGGTAAACCTGCATGCGACTAGCTTCCCAAAGCCTTGTTTTTCCTCATTGTCTGACCGTCACCTTTGCGTGTCTGTGGGAGAGGGAGGCGGCTGGAGAGAACTGGGCTGCGAGAGCAAAACTTTCAACGTGCCGTTTCTGCTTGCTTAAACATGCAAAAATGTTTGTAATTGCAGCAACTCGGTCCAAACTTTGCAACACAGCCACAGATTGCCCCTCAATTTTCCTCCCTGCCACCACACTTTTAATGATGCTGCTCTTATATTTGTATGTTATGGTGGAGCTTTGGCTGTTTTTTTCCTGTACAGCACTAATGGACTAAAAATATAATTCATTCAGCTAATCAGCTGACTACTCACAGATTGCTCTTCGCAGTACTCTACTTTTACACATTTTTATATCACACCTAAATATCTATATATTTTAACTCTATCAGAAAGACCTCAGATCAGCATATGGGCTTCTTATGTTGCTCCTTTAATCAACTGAATTAACATTAAACTGTCCACATGCTAGTAGTTGATCGTAAATCTTTACTACTACAACACCATATCATGCCATGTGTTGAAGTGTAGCATTCCCTCTTTCCTTTTAAAAGGCGAGTGCAGATATACAACTCTTAACTTTTGCTTTAAAGTGGATTTTTTTCATTCCTGGTTTCAGCACAGCTCCCACTAGGGAGTAAAAGAAGCTGGAAATACGCAGCCCCAGGGGCTCTGGGGGTGGGCGGGGGGGGATAAAAATCTTTTTGCGTTAAACCCCAGCGTAAGAAATGAACAGTGGACTCACTCGAAAAAGATCCAACAGCCAAATCTGAATTTCAACTAATCTAACAGCAGGAAGAAAAACGACTTTGATGCTAACACGGCCATAACACAAAAAAGGAACCGCCTTTCTTTCAGTGCTCTAATGAAGGCTAACTGCATACAAACATCTAATTGAGTGAGGGGTATTGAACGCAGCATCAAAGAGCATCCGTCTGAAGCTCAGTCCAGAGCCATCACACTGAGTGCTCCAACTTTCACATGACAAATAGCATCTTGAGCCAGTAGCAGGGACAGCGACCCGTAAAGGGCCCTGCTGGACGCAGGAAATAAAGCAGTGGAGAGCTCGCTCTTCTTTGGTAAGTGAGCCTTATGTATGATGGCTCTTACCTCGACTCAGCTCATCCATAGGTATCATATCACCACTACAACATTTCCTGGTGCCTGAAAAGCCTCCATAGGCCATTTGTACACAAGCCGTGTACAAATAAACTGAGTTTTTGAGCCCAAAAGCTCCTACTTTTTAGGATAATGGTGCTCGGGCGATGATTAAATTATGCAAAATGAGGGCAGGGACAAAGTTGTGATTTATGCGAATGTGAGGATTTGAAAAATGAAAAATGAAAAAGCAAATGGCAAAAAGTCGGAACAGAAACCGACTGTTTCACTAACGACTCCTACGCACTAAGAGATGCTTTTCACTGGACCAATCATAAGCATCATTCCACCTCTGACACACACAGCTGCTGTTACAGAGCATTTCCTATTGCCGGCCACACTGTTATTAACACCTTTTCATTCAAAACGGGGATGAAATCGATTTCAACAAAATCCACAACTGGAAAAATGATCGACCTTTCTTCAGCCATCAAAAACCTTTAAAGTATCGAGGAGTTCCGGTAAAGGCAAATGTACGCCGCTTGAAACCTTCCCTCACGCTTTGCCCGTGTTATCTTTGAATAACAATGCTGCAACATTGAAACCGAACACAGCACAGTTGTACCACGTGGAGGCGGGGGGGCTGTAATGGGGCAAGCACAGAAATTCCAGAGCCATGAGAGAAAAAAACAACATCCCCAGCAAGTGGACAGACACCCAGAGAAATGCTCTTTGAATTGACCAGTCAAACTTTAGCTTATTACTGAATGTCTTTTCAAAGAATCACACTGTTTGTAGAAACTTGCTTTGGTGTTTGTTGTTTTGACGTTATGGCGGCCGGAAGCGGCTGGAAGTTCCCTTTTTAGTCCCTAAACAGCCTTAAAATAGTGACCCATGCCGACCCACACGCTCACTGACTGACCTTGGTTCTTCTCCATCAGGGGCAGGGTGGTGTCGTCATAACCCGGCTTGCCGTTCTTGGTTGCTTTCGGGGTGGCTGTCACAGTGGGCTGGGTGTGGAGGCAAAGCACAGCTCATTAGGAACATTCACACTAGAACACAAACACCGTGCCCTCTCTCTTATGCTAGATTACAGTTTATTCTAAGAAAATTCAAAATAGCTTAAGAATGCCGTAAAATCCTTTCTGAAGCCAACATACTCTGAATGGTATTTTCTGATGACCTGACATTATCATAAAGACACATCAGAGACAGGATCATGACTCCTTACAAGTGACAGTTTGTACCTGAAAGTGGCCCTTATTCCAGCCGTCCTTAGTCAAAGCGTTCCTCAGCTCCTTATAGCTCCACACTGTCTGCAGAACGTGGGACGCTGCCTTTGTTTCACGCGCTGATTGGCTGAGGATGCCACAGAAGGAAACAAATGAAGAATTCACCAGAGATATCATAATAAGAAAGCGGATCAAACATTTGTGGTGCTGGTTCACCTCCCCCCCTGTCCCCTGTCTTCTCTGGGGTTAGGTTTTTAACTCCTAACCAGATGAGTGCTCGCTCCCTTTCACTGGCTACCGCTGAGCCACCAGTACTAATTAAATGTGGACAGAGGCCCTCACATCAAAGAAGGCTATTCCTCTGAGAGAAATATGCATATTCATGCAAGTTAGCTACACTCAGTGTGATCAATATTTCCCCGCGCAATAACTGGCCTTAAAAAAGTGCTCTTGATCGTGAAATAAAGTGAGACGCGCGGCAATTAATCCTAATTAATCTTGTGATGAATTGTGCTTAGTTAAGACACAGAAGTAGAAATCGGTGTGGTCAGTGCTAACAGATGTTGGCTCAAGCTGGCTAGACTAAAGCATTGTGGGAGCCAAGTCCTTCCTGTGTTCAATTAACACTAATAAAATAACTCTGAGCATTATGTCTCCCTGACACAAATAAAAGGGCAGGCAGCAGCTTAAGGGGGAAAAAAAGAGCTAAATGATCCTAAAAACCTCAGTGACTGCCTCCGGGTGACCGAGTGTGGCTTGTAAACCTCCAAAAAGCATCAGTCGTGTCGCATTGCGGGCATAGCGGTCTCACCTGGTCCTGTTGATGGCGACGAGCTTCTCAATGGCCTGCGCCTGGATGAGGGAGCGAGCGTTTTCCGAGCTGTCCGTGACAATCTCGTGGATGGTGTTGAGGATGGCCACCACGGTGTCCTCCTCCAGGTTCTTGGCTGGTCGCTGCTGACCGCTGGGCAGGTTGCTCACCAAGTCCCGCATGGCATAACTTCCTGTAAGGTGGAGTGTTGTATTTGACGTTAACGGGGCGATAATGAGATGAAAAGCGACAGGCACCCGAGGGGTTTTTATTAATAGGCCACCTTAACACAGGGCAATAAAACATAAAGCGAGAAAATGTGTGCTGACATGAGGACTCGTGACATTTGCACAGACCTGTTAAGAAAAACATGTTTTGAACAGCAACAGTTTGATAATAATAATTTTTTCAGAGTGCATTGAGGCACTTTAAGATGGGACTTAGGCCATTGCTATTGACCAGTACCGATCAGGTCCTTGTTGCGGCGGTCAATGGACAGGTTGCGCAGGGCGATGGCCACAGCTCGGACCACCTTGTCGGAGTCGGAGCGCAGCAGCTCCACCAGGATGGGGAGACCTTTCTCCTTCCTCACTGTGGCTCGGATGTAGTTGGACCACTGGAAGGCAAGAAAACAGCGTTTTCAGTGCTGTGACACATTAGCTCTTACTGTTAAACACACCCACTTCCATACACAGCTTCTCTAGCTCAGCGTTGACATATGATTCCATTAGTCGGAACTTTAGCATAAGTAAATTTTCATTTCAAATTTTTTCTCACGTGAAATGTGGCGTTTAATATATGAGGCTTTCCCATCTTAAAGCTATACCCCAAGAGATGTAATTAGGCAGAGGAGAGGCATGGCTGGGCCAGCAGGTGGCAGTAGTGCGCTGTGAGGAATCAGGTCAAAGCCGTGGTGCAAAAGACGGGCAAAGAACGAGAACCATCAGAAACAGAGGCTGTGGCACCCTCTCAGGGGGGCAGGACATACTTCGTCCAGCTTCCAGATGTGTTACCGATGTGTTAGCAGCTCCAAAAGCCCCCGGGCACCAGCTGACATTCTAAACAACTTCAACGGGGGAGAATAGCCCTACACAGATTTCTGCTCAACGCGCTCACCTTCGTCCTAACTCCTGACCGATGAATTATTCACAGCGCTAAATGTGAAACTCAGAGCTCAATTTCGAGAGAAAACAAGCCTCGGCCTCTTTTCCCCACTTAATCTGGAGGAGCCTGACGGTGCAGGTGTGATGTTGGGGGGGGCGTCGGCATGCGTGTGGCCCCCGGCGTAGAGGCGCTACAAGTGGCACTCTGCTGACGATGCGGCTGTGGGCTGCGTACAGCCCGTCTGCAGGAAAACGCAGCTGACTGACGTCTGGGAGCCATAATTTACTGGTGCCTGTGAGCCGCACAGCCTACCGGCAGCCCTGCGTTGATTGGAAAAAACAACAGCTCACCGTGGCCGTAGAGGTGTCCTCCCTATCCATCAGTGGAGGGAATCGCCTTCGAGGAACGAGCCAAACGTGCTATCAGTAAAGTCCCTGCCCTGCCTTATTATTGTTGCACTAAAAAATTTGGATGTGTTCGTACAAATGCTGAATCACACTGGCTGTGCACCAAAAATACAACTGTCTATAGATATATATATAGTTTGTCTTTAAAGAGATGAAGCAGCAGATTCTGCGTCTTTAATCGTGTATTCAATGTGCATCTTTGGGGACAGTTTTCAGTTCTCCTGTTACGAGAGGCGGTTGAGGCAGAACTAGGTGGAAAGCTGGAACTCTCAGAGGGGGGGCCCGGCGTCCCCAGCCCTGCACTCACGGTCCACTGTCCGGCGCTGAGGTTCTGCAGAGCCCCCGCGGCCGCCTCCAGGGTGTTGTAGTTCTGGCTCTCGGTCAGCAGGGACAGGTAGAGCCTCACCACCTCCGGCTGGTACAGCAGCTCGAAGCCTGCAGGGGGACACAGAGGCACACGCAACCGCAGAGGTAAGGAACCCTGGAGAGGGAATAGCGGTGGAGTGTGGTGATGGTTTATCTCCGTCCACATGGAGCATCCTTTGGCAGAGAGAGGCTCGGTTGCACCACACCGCGCTGCGCAAAAACCGCTGGCACGGCTCTGAAAAGCCCGTTTAGAGCTACACAGTAAAAGTTTTAAAATATGACAACTTGGGCAACTTTCTGCAACCTCACAAAGTTTAAATAAATGCCAGAAGATCAGAGCGTAGATGTGGCATTGCAAAAAAGATTCAAAACACGGTCAGGGAGAGCACAAGGGGAAGATTATTGATCCGCTATCTCTGGCCAAACCCTGAGCCTTTGAGAGGGAAATTTAACTAGGACTTTTTGCCACAGTCAATCCTTTGGCTTTCCTCTGATGGAAACATAATCACATTATCAGCTATTAGACGGAACTGATACAGACAAAGACAGAATAATCAAATAAAACATATTCATCCAGGGGTTTTTTTTGTGCTACACAAACAGGCTCATCACTAACAAGGAACCAATGAGATATGACACCATGCAATTAAAGGCTGGAGACTCCCGAACAATGTCATTGTGAGCTGTTCACCTCTGAAGAAAGCCATGCATCTTTTATTGTTGGATATGCCACACCACAGGAATGCGGGAAGAGTTGCCAGACAGAAGACAAAAATAAGTCACTTTCTCTTCTTCTAACCCGATTTTAGGGGGAAATTGTGCCTCAAATTGAATGTCCTTTCGATGCAAAAAAAAAAAAAAGCAGAAGGGAGGTTTAACACCAAGTCAAAAGTTCAGTCCTTCCAAATTTGGTGGATAAACAGGTCTCTTGCAGGAATTCAGCTTCCTTCATATCTTCTGCAACAGCACATGCAGCACATAGCAGTGCCAGCTTTCTCTCACATGCCTCAAGGCTCAAATCAAAGGGAATATAACATACTGTTTCTTTCCATGTCTTCTGAGGCCAATCTTTCCCAGGTTCTATTTGAAAACCCCTGCATTATGTGGGCAGGGATATACAGAACCCTATTTAAATGATGCACACGGCCTAAGCAGGCTCTCAGGACGTACAAATCTTTCGTAACATAAACGTCCAACTCATGAAAGTGTTAATCAAATCCATCCGAAACGAGCAAGCAAAGGTAATAAGTCCCGTTTACTGACTTATATCTGGTATATGAAAAGAGAACAGCGACAGAGTTAAGAGTGACATTCTTGTTCTTGGGAGGCACAGAGACACATAAACTCAAATTTATACCTCTAAATCCACATCTCACACCCATAATTTTCGGGGAGAGCGGAAGCCTCGGAGCAGCCTCAGACTGCCAGGTTCAGACACAGTTGTTAACAGGACTCTGGAAACTATGGTTTACTTCCCTGTGGCGTTTTCCCCCCCTTCAAAATCATGCCTCCAGAATGTGTGTGGGAGGAACTGCCAGACTGGGCCAACGCTACCGGAGGAGATGCTCGAGAAATGTTGATCTCGTTTTCAAAGCAGCAGCAAAAAAACAGGAGTCGTCGGAGCCCAGTTGGGTGTAAAAGCAAGTGGGGAGAGCCTAAAAACCACAAACTCAGCAGCGTTATGCCTGGACCTCATATTTCTGGGTCCACTGGGAGCATATTAAGCATGCGGGAAATCAGACCCCTGTCACAGAGTCTGTTCATAATGTAATTTCCAACATAATTATTCACCCATCCTGCAAATCCTCAAATTTTAAGTCAAAGTTCAAAGACTAATATCATAAGTAAAGGACTAAAAACAAACCAAATGGAGAGTTAGATCTACTCCTTATGTTGGAAAAGGTTTGTGTATGTCAGCTCTGCACTTTGAACCGCAGCTGTGGACAGTAGTTTCCTTTCGGTGTCATTAGTAGTCTCCTCCAAGCCTTTTTGGCCTGCAGAATAACAATGTGGACATGGAGATGAGCTGTCAGTGTGATGTGACCGCGGCCTCATATTCTGTGACTGACTGAAAACATGATGAGATTACTCAAACGTGATGCAATCGTCCCTGTTCATTAGAGCGCGGGCAAGAGTTTCCCAATTTTCAACGGTGCCGATATTTGCACACTGTAAATGGCAGCATCTCAAGCCGCCCCCTCCCATCCTAAAACCGCATCATTTGACACTTCTCCATATTTTACGACACAGTACTCTGGTGGTCCAAATGCAATCCAAAAATCATGCTTTTACAAAGCAGCCGAGTGTTTGTGAACTGGCAGTCGGAGCCGCACGCTGTCATATGCGGAGTGTTTCAGTTCAATTTTTCAAAGTGCCGCCATTTAATTACCTTAAATGAGTAAACTGAGGGGAAAGGGGTTGTCCACCGCTGCTTAAGAGCTCATTGACAGACATTTATGACGTATTTGCATCAAACTCCTTTCACTGAAGTCTGGAGCGAGCGGCGTTTCGATGTGAAGGGCATCATTTTTTCTTGATTAAACCAGTGCAATAACCTGACGATGTTTCATAAGCAAACAGTGGCATCTACATAAAACAGAGGTTCCGGATGCTGTTTAACATGATAATGAAGACAAGCGACAGGAGTGTGTGAACATATTGGCCAGTGGCCTTCCGCTGCCACCTACGGCATCAGGTTTAAAATAAACGCCACCAGAATATGCCAGAACTGACGCCTTCAAAGCCTTCCTCTCATTAGCGCCAGCTGTAAACGAGCTTTTCCCCCAAACTTGTGCGTTTGGCACACGCGACTGTTGTTTTTTTTTATGCTAAACCGGCGCGCGCCAACACACGGGGAGCACTCCCAGCTCCTCTCTAAATGAGGCGAGCGGGGAGGAGCAGCACGCCGTTTCCTAAAGCGGAAGAGGATGGTGACAACTCCTGCAATGGCGGTGAAGCTCGATTAGTTCCCGGGTGCTGAGGATAAGGAACTGTGCGTGAAAACTGGGTTAGAAACAAAGTTTAGTTAAGCGACGTTCATCCCGATTGGCTTCACGTGGCTTCGTTTGAACAAAACAGGACGCACGTCTCTGCTAACAGGTGTGAGTAAATCCACAACTTGCAGGCGCTTACATCAACGTCTTTATTAATTTACCGCTTTATGCCTCCACGAGCACAGCCCTTCCAGAAAGCAGTGAGGGGGGGGCATAAAGCTTTATGGCACTCTGCAACTCAGAGGAAAGGTTTAAACACAGGAAATGATAAATTCCCTTATGCCTATGATACTGATTTTCATATAACTGTATGACAAAAAAAAGGGGGGAAGGGTTCTTCACAGGTAAGATGCAGATGAAAGGATGAAAAAGACAAGACGTGTGTTCACAGAGCAAATCTGACCCAGGGGTCACGTCTTCCTCCCGCAAAAGGCCACATAAATAAATGAGAGTATTCCGCTGAGGAAGCCTCCAGTTGCCAATCTCATTTCACATTAAGTCACGCATGTTTAACCCAAACAGCCTCATTCTTCCGTCATGGGGGGTTTGATGCGGGTACATCCGGCTCACGGCGTCAGCAGAGGCCGAGCGGCGCCGCATCATCGAGAGCGGGCCGCCGTAGATGGAATAAGAGTTGTGAGTCGGTCTGAGCTAATTAAAAACAAACAAAAAAAAAAGGTGAGCAGCGGCGCCGCATAAACAAAAACGCCTAATTGGCGCGGTCCACAGAGAGGCTGAGGAATTAAGTCCAACACCTCGGCGTGGAGTCATAAAGTGGTAGAAATAATGCTGCTTTGATGCTGCTGGAGGCGGCTCCAGATGGATGGAAAGTGTCAGCTTTCTAAAAACATGAGGAATAATAGGAATGCATAACACTAAACAAACAAACAAGTGTTCAAGATATCTAAACACTCATTACTTATGGTCTTACTTAAGCCTTGAATGAAGGCCTAATTTGTCAAACTATTAAAGGCAATTACCAGCATTATGTAACTCTTATTGGCTAGTGTCTGCTCAGGGTCATGGACTTTTGGATTGACAAGCATTAAGACACAAGCATTTAATGGTGTTTTAGTATAGAAATGGTTTTAAATAAACAGCCCCGATGTAACTACACTAACTTGGGAAGAATGACAGAATCCTTGGCAAGAGAGAAGTTTGCAGCTTGTTTTGAAGTGTTATTGGACGAGCTGACACCTGATTATCAGTGAGGATAATTAGATTTTATGATGATTATTTTGTATGCGGCAGATACACCGTAATGTAATTAGGCCCTGATAAGTGATGCGTGTTCGTGCTGGGTGTAAATCACATGTGATCTGACCAATTTCTGATGCGTCCGGCTTAAACATGCTGGAGCTGGAGGGAGAGGTGTGCATACCCTCTCTAACATGGGAGGAGCAGGAGCCAGAAACAGTTTGCTGCGAGGTCTGGAAAGGGGCCCGGTCACCTTCCAATCACCCCTTCAGACTGACAACACTCTGGAGCCGGAGCCTCATTTTATGCTCCCATAAGCGGCGGGGCTCAGCTGCCGGCGGACGTCTCTGCGGGCGTCCGCGGGGCAGAACGCATTAGCATACCCACATGGTGACAAAGAGAGGCAGAAGGTGGCCGTTGACTCATCTGCTGGACGGTTAGCCATCCGTTCTGAGCCACAAAAACGTCTCGGGATGACGGGGTAGCTGAGGGAAGGGAGGCGGGAGTCGCCTTAAAAAAAGGCAGAGCGCTGAAACCACAGGGCCAGTGTGCAGCTCGGACCCGTCTGTCACTCCCTTTCCCCCATCCGTGCCATTTCCCTGCTCCATGAAAGCCAGCCTCCAACCACGTCGCATAATGGACCCCTTTTGCTGCGAGCAGCTTCTGCATTGACGGGGACGGCTTCCTCTTTCCTGTGCCCACCGGTCGGGGGAAGTCCTGCTGGGAGCTTTTTGTCCCAAGAGGACACATCAGATTATGTGGCAAAAAACCTGCTGATGAACTGGAATAGAAATGTCTTAAATGTCTTTGAGTTCTCCTCCGAGCCCACTGGAAAAGATTCATCTCTGTCTGGTTTCAACCTTTAAACTTTGGCAGAACCGGTGGGTCTGTCACAGTCAGGCCACGCTTGCATTGTGTGTTCTGT